ATGTTAATTATACGAAATCGAAAATCGGAGAAATTGCGGAATTGCGTTTGGGCGCGTTGTTACGGAATTCCGCGGGACGGAGGAGAAGAATGCGTAATCGGCCGATGGCAGCGCGTTCCATTTTCATCTAATTGGCCGCTCGCTTTGGATTTTGCGCGCTCTTAATTGCGGCCAGGAAAGTACCAGCGTGGCCGGCATAAAATGTCCTCCCCGCCCTCGTGTATTCCACAGGAGCGGAATCCTCGGGACTGAATAAACGCCGCCGCTAGGAACGCCTCTCGCTTTAACTCCTTCTTTTGACATAACTGCACGGTTTTTGTATAGAAGAGAATCGAGAGTCGCGGTTCACGGAAGATTGAAAATGTTCTCGGCGAAGAAGTAATCTCCTAACCCATTAAACGCGATAATTATAATGTAAAAAATTTCAGACGCAAGCCAAATAATAGTTTTTATATTATTTCTTTTCGAAAGTAATTTATATAGATTATATAGATTATAAATTATAAATTTTTTTTATTATATTTTTGTAATAATAAATTTTATTTATATAAAATAAAAAATTAAATAAAATTTATTGTTACAAATAGATTTTATATTATTTTATTTTATAAATTTTGTACAAATTTTCTTTTATATAGTATATAAAATGAAATTATGTTTCCGAATATTGGAATCAAATTAGATCAGATTGACAATTTTATATAAAACATACATATTTATGTAAAAAATGTCAATATGAAAAAGGGAAAAAACATAATAAATCACGTGTTACGCGTGTAAATGCGTTCGCAAGTATGTTGCACGACAGGTCGCGGACTAAAAGACGATAAATGTCGCATTAAGGAAGGGGGAGACGCGGGGAACGGAAGAGGTGCTTCGAATCGAAGTTTTTGCGAGGCAGAGAAACTACTCTCTGCGGTCTGAACCGAGAGACGAGGCATTGGGACGATTACATTAGCTCGGCGCGATGCTTATCGGCGTTGTACGCACGATTAAATTGATTTATGTATAAAGTTGGAGGCGGCGGCAATGGCGTTTATTCGCCAGACTCGTAACCAGAGTGCAAGAAAACCTCCCCCTCTCGTATAATAATATTTTTTTAATTCTTCACAATTGTCTTTCTTAAGATAATTTTTATTTAAAAAAACTTTTAAATAATTATATATAGTTTATATATATATTCCTTTCCTCGAAAAATGTTGCAAAAATAATTTTATATCTCTTCTGCAAATATATTATACAGGATGTCCCAGACTTAACGAATCAGCCGTTAATGGTAAATTCCTGAGATCATTTGGAAACGAAAACCTTCATACTAAAATGTTGAGGAAGATGTAATTTGGGCTCTATAAAATATCAAAGTTTACCAATCGCGTTACGTTCTCTTATGCTCAGGGATAGCGCATCAAGGGACCCGCGAACGGCGCAATAATATCGATATCGAGAGAGATGAATATAAAATAAAAAAAAGGAATCTAAGTCTGGGACACTCTGTATATGTCTGAAATTTAAATTTACACCTCCTCTCTCGAATATCCTTTTTATGGAATCGGGGCGCGTTTCCCTCGCGCTACGAGCGTGTAATTCACCCACGCGGAGAGTGGGTGTGAGCCGCCATCGGAATTCGATATTATCTGCTGACAGATACGAGATCGGCCGGCGCGCGTGACGCGCTTTTTTTCCCGCCATCGCGAGCGCGTTTCTCTCTTTTCCATCGCGATCGCGATCGCACGATCCCCTCGGTTAGCCTTTAGCTTAAGAGGGAATGGATAGATACGATAGAATTCGTGCAATTTGCATTACGATCGTTATCTGGCGACGTTCGAACTAAACCAACGGCGCGACCGCCCTTTATACCGATAACTCTGTCTCCTCGAACCGGCGTGGATTACGAGCGCGGTAATAACGATAATGACGTCGGCGACAAACGAAAGGGGGGATTCAAGAGAAGGGCCGCGTCTCTCTCGATCGACCTGATTAAAACTGACTTTCATGGCCAATTAACCGGCAAGCTAAGACTCGTCTGAAAATAAGATAAGGGGATCCACCTGTCAAAATTTTGTCGCGAGTCTTTCGGTCGCGATACCTATAACATACATATATTTGTCGTAAATGGGGGAAAATGTAAACAAAAAAAAACGTCGCGGATGAACGCTCGATCGTCAATTATCTCGAGAAATGTCCGTCTTTCTGTAGCCGGAGTCGAGGTAAAAAGTTGCGGATTGCGTCGCGGTTTCGCGCGAGGAATGCAGAAAATATCCCGCGCGTTAACATAGTTACTTAAATAACTACGTTAAGAGCGTTAGTAAGTGTTCGTACGACGGGGAGGTTTCTTGAGTGATGGAGTGCTAGCTGCACATGTGTATTTTCTTCGGTGATCATTGTCATTTTAAACTTGCAATTTTTTTTAGAAAAGTTATTTTTTTCTCTTTCGTTCAGACAGAAAGCAATAAAATAAACGATTATAAATTATATTATATGCTGTGTGTGGATAAATCACTTTGAATTTCTGTAACAAATGTTATTTTGTAATGAGAGAAAAAGAAAAAGGAAGAGAGACTTTAAATAATATATTTAATAGTTATATGAATTAATTACACATAAGTATAAATAATAAAATCCGTCTTTTATTATTCAAGTTTGCGAAGAGGATCTGAATTACCTTCGCACAGAAAAAACAAAACTGCAAAATTTTCTTAAATTTATGTATAAATCTAAAAATAATAATGAAGGAAATGAATCTAAAAATAATAAAAGATATTATTAAAAGTAATGTAAGAAAGATAACATATTAAAATTAAAAAGAGTCAATTAAAATATTAAATATTTTATACATCGTAGCATAATTAAATGATAAATGATAAAGTGATAAAGAAGTATAATCTTGAGATATGCAAATGTATGTGTATGTATCTGCGTGTGTTTATATGTATGTATGTAATAAAAAAGATAATTAATATTCTTATTTAGTTTAAGGAATAAATTATGTTTAAAGAAAAATTAATGAAAAATATTATTTTTAATTATTTTTTTTGTAATATTATTAATAATTAAAATGTAAATTCAATTAATATTTAAAATATATAAATAAAGACAAAATTATGTGCATATCTCATGTATTATATCAAATTCATATAAATAAATAATGAATAAAGATAAAATTGTAGTTCTAAAAATATAAACCAATATTTATATTATAGGAATTATATTTCTAAAAAATTATATATATATATAGTTGCAATATTATATTTTGAAATTGATTTTTTTATTATTCATTCCTATTTAATTTTTTCTCTTCCTTTTTCCTTTCTTCTTTTTCTATGTAATTCGGATTTTGCATCTGGATATGTACGAAGCAGAAAAATAATTTTTTTTCTAGACTGGATGGATTAATGTCTTCGAAAAAGACAATATGTGTGTGTGTGTGTGTGTGTGTGTGTGTGTGTGTTGAACAAAAAATCGTTAGTGAGACAAAGTGAGTTAAATCGCGAGTGTAGACAAGTGTTTTGGAGATGACGAAACCGAGCACAAAGCCCAATCATGCGCGTCAAGCTTTTGTCGCGGCTGCTGCGAGCGATAATAATCGATCCGCAGACGTTTATCTCTCTTTTCTTACTCCTGATCACGTTACGAGCGCAAAAAAAACACGCCACGATCTCTAACGAATTTCAAGATTCAATTATAAATCTGATCTTGCCCTCGCGAAAAGCCCTTAAAAGTGACTAAATAAAATTTGCAAAATTTTGAAAAAAATTTGAAAAAATTTGAAGTTTGAACTTTGCAATTTCGGGGGGGATTCCAAAGAAAGAAATTTAATTCTATATAATTAATTAACATTTTATCTCTCTCGGAAGTTGTTGGAAATCAACATTCTGGATCCGGTGTTTCTCCGGAGTTGCTCCGAAACGCTCGGTGTTCATCGACCGATTTGCGGTTTGGGAAAAACGAACGGGTGACCGTGCGGAATTTGACACGCGTGACTTCGCGGCTCGGGATTGAATGATCTCGTTCGTGAAGTCATATATAATTACGGCGCGCGCGGACAAAGGATGTGGAACGTCGCGCGAAAAAGCGCGCGTGACCGACTCGCCGTCGTCCTTTTCGTCGTCGAAAGAAAGAAAGTGACCGTACGCGAGCGCAGTTTGCGCTGTCGCGCGCATGAAGGGGGGAAAAAAAGAAGGCGGTCGAGAGACGACGGGTTTTCGATCGAAGACGACGAAAAACGATCTAGCAGGACCAGCTCTCTGTGCGATTATATATGTACCTTTTTTTTCTGGAGGGGAAGGGACACTCTCCTTAATAATATTCAAGTGTTTCTTATCGAGCTGTTTGTCGCGACCTGAATATTCTCCTTCCTTTACTTTCCTTATTAATAAAAATATCGACATTTTCTGCTTCTTATGCGGATAAAGATTTAACTCTAATATAATTATAAAATCTAATTTAATAAATTTTATACAACAGAGAGAAATTAAATAGAAATGAATAATGAAAATTAGATATTTAATTGTAAATTTCAAAATATAATCCTTTAATAATTAAAAGAATAATTCCTATCAAATACAAATATTTTTGTTAATACCTCTACAAATATAATTTTTTAATTATATTTATTTTTTCTTAATATAAATATAAATAATTATAAAGTTATCACAAAGAGAAATATAAAAAAAATTAGTTGTAAAGAAGAGAGAGATTATAAAAAAGATAGATAATATATTTTTATAGCATGTGTTAAGACAAAAATTTCGTAGTTATATCTTCCTGTGCGAGGATAATTCAGATTTGATTCACAGATTTAGATAATAAAAGACGGATTTAATCTCGTATAATCAATTCACAATTACTTCGCATAATTTTTTCTCGATTTTTGTAGTCTTATTGTTAGACTTTCTTTCATCAACACGATTATCCCGACGTCTCATTTAAATCGCGATATTCGCGATCGCTAATTTATACATATATATATGTTCACATTCGCGTCTTCTCTTTTTTTACAGCGAGCTGAAAAATGTGCATCCCCACGCGACTCTCCACAAGTAATGCACACAATAATCGCGCCAGTGAAGTCTCTAAAGCCGACATTGTGAGAGGCCCGGATAGAACGACGCCATTTTTCATATCGCGCCCGCGGGCGACGCGCTCGCATAAAGGAAGAAAGAAACAAAAAAGGAGAATCGCGCCGATGCGATAATAATTGCCGATTTTATGCAGCTAATGAAAGACGCCCACCTAGACAGATCTCAGTGGAGTCTCGGTGACAGCGAGAAGAAATAATTCTCCGAACTGTCACCATTGTCATCGAGATACGTATGGACGTTTGACACAGAAATCCTAGCGAGGAATGTCAACCTTCCACTCTTTACCGCGGATCTCTTCTCGTCTAATCTTCGCATTGTGTTTGCGAGAGAACAATCAACAAATGATTGTTGATTGATGATTTTAAATGGGATCACCAGATCCGGGAAGGAAATTAACGGCTGCGTTATTTATTAGCGATTCCTTCGAGGAAGATCATGTCTCTTGTGACTCGAGCTTGCTCATCTTTCTCCTTCCTCTTTTCTCTCTTTCTCTCTCTTTCTCTCTTCTGTCTTATAATACGTCAAGGACTCGGGAGCGCGAACCAGGACTCGCGTTTGTCTACATCCCAGATATGTCACGTATATGTGTGCGTTAAAAGTGACGCAATCGGATGCCAATGGCTGCAGCAGATTCTGACGTGCTCGTGTTTGGCGGATGCTACCGCCTAACGGTTGCTGATATACAAAGTCATAGAGCATACATATACACACATAACATATGGGAATAAGCAAGCGCAAGATTCGAAACCGCAAACCAGTAGTGAGGCCTCAATGACGTCAGGCTTCGTGAATGGGCCTCGTGGAAGTCTTAAGAGCTTGTCGATTCGGTCAGAAGAGGCGTAAGCTATCGATAGCGAAAATCTGTAAAGAAATCAATCGATAAGAAAATTCTATCATTGTTTGATTGATAATTGAAAGCAATTATTAAATTAATTTATATATTTTTATAAGACAGTAAGGTGGAAGAGGAAGATACACTGAATAGATTATTATTTTCTTTGCTCTTAAAAATATAAGATTGTAGTTTAACGTAAAAAAAAAAATATCTTATATTAAATATATTTTTATATTAAATGTAAAAGAAATTAGAATATCTTATATTAAATATATTTTTATATTAAATGTAAAAGAAATTAGAATATCTTATATTAAATATATTTTTATATGAAATGTAAAAGAAATTAGGCTCTTTTTTGATATATTTTGATCTTATCTTTTGCTGATTTATTTCTTAATGAATAATAGAATAAACAGAAAAAAGTGTTTTATAGATAAAAAATAAGAAAAAATACCAATGTAATAATTATTGACGATAAGCATAATAATTATAAACGATTATTATTAAAATTTCTAACTGTACAACTTGCAACTTCGTCCTTTGTACATGTGTCCTTTGTAATTTGCGAACTTCGTCCTTCGTACATCTTTGTTATTTAAAATTTTTCGACAAATAACACTGATTTCTGACTTATTCATCATCCTAGATAGAAATTATGATAGAATAACTTAAACAATGTCGAGAGAAAACTGCTCTTTTTTATAAACTGAAGATAAAAATTATTTTACTGACAAAGCAGTCTTTTCAAATCATTGAAGAATTCGAGATTTTGACATATAACGAGCACGATTTGTTGATATATCTTCACTACATGTAATTTTACCTTGAATTCCACCTAAAATCTCTTTTTCGATATAATAGCAATAAAATTCATTTCAATTTAAATTCAAACGGGAATATCCAGAGTTCTCCTGAGTAAATATATACGTCAAGCTCTAAATATTTTTTAGTGTAAGTTTGTGAAATATTTATGTAATATAAAAAAGAATATTTTATATTTTATAAGAATATTTTATATTTATATTAAATATATGAAAATAATTTTTTTACATCTCATCTGTTGCTGACTCATTTCTTAATAAATAATAAAATGAAAGTGAAACAGGAAATTTCTTTATAGATAGAATAAAAAAATATGAATGGCATAATAATTATAAACTGCATTAATAAATTAAAATTCATTAAAATTCTGCATTAAAATTCATAACTGTATAATTTGCAAATATAATATTACTTCATTATTGTGTGTTTATAAAATTTTTTTTTAATGCTTCTTTTCTTTATTACATTTTATTTGAAAATATATTGCATTATTATGAATATTATTTTTATTTAATTTTAAATGTATATGAAGCAAAACATGTTAAAACTTAAAATATCTTTGTAACTTCAATATAAATATACAAAATTTCTAAAAGAAATATTTATTTTAAATGGATAAATAATAATGTGAGAAAGACTTCTTTGATTCATTTTTTATTAAGGAATAACATTATATAATCGTAAATCATGATACCCTATATCACCTAATTACTAACCTACTGTAAGGATAAAATAAAATTTTTTTTTGCTCTGTTATATTCAAACATAATTTTAAAAAAACTCCATTATAATTATCTTCTGAAATTTATAATATTAAAATGAACAATTTATGTTTTATAGGCACCAACTTTGGCTGCTTTAATCATAAAATCAAGTTTCAGACTTTCATTTAATTCGGTGAAAGTTTCCGATAGTATCACATCAGTCATCTGACTCAATGCAAATTGAAAGCAAAATTCCTCTAAACCCTAAAATTATATGCATTATTACATACGTACATATAAATAAATTACGTTTAACGAATTATAAAAATTATAAAAATGATATAAATTATAAATCACCTTTACATTATTTTCAATTGCTTTTGCATAACAAAGAGCTACATTTGACACAGTAATATTTTCGCTTATTATTTCAATGCATTTTTCTTCAAGCTTTGTCTCATTATACTCATCACATAACTCTAAGAGTTCTGTAAGAAATTATTGCATTAATCACGAATTACAAGAGGAATTCAATTTAATATTTTATTAAAACTCACCGAATGATTCCTCCAAAGTTAAGTAATCGACCATATCGGTATATAAATATTTCAAGAAAGCTTTATACACATTGTAGGAGAATTGATCGTGCTCAATGATATTATGAACATATGTAAACATATGTTTATATGTATGGAACAAAATAAATTTAAAAAACTTTGAATAAAAATATAATTAGCTTCTTACCTTTGATTATTTTCTGCCCAATTATTTTGGAACAGTTTTCTAAAGTACTCACAACGAATTTTCAGAATAGTTCTGTGAACGTAGAGAAGTTGTTCCCCAATTTTTATCGTAAGATCGCTTGTCGACTACATCAACATAGAAAAATAGAAATAAAATTTTGTTTATAATTTATTTTTTATGATTGCATACAATATTAAATCTTAATGAAAGCATTGCGTATGGAAAAAGATATGAGATAGAAAATGAAACGTACAAGATCGTTGAATGCTGCTCTCAGGTATTCCAATATGTTTGATTTTTCGTTTGTACTATCATGAATGATGTGTGGTATTTTATATTTGAATATGTCATATATGTTGGAATATTGGGTTCTAACAGGCTTCCAAATTATTTGGTAACAAAAAGGATGACCCCATACATAGACATGTCCAATCTTGTTAATGGCGACACTTTTATCATCTTGAGCGGCAATGTCGGATATCTGTCCCATTACAGGCACATACAACTAACAATATATGTTTAAAATTTTTTTTTCTATTTTTCATTTTATTTATCACGATTAGATAAATTAAACGGATTACCATAACAGGTTTTATTTCCCGTTCTGTCTTTTTACCATGTCCTAACTGTCCTTTACTGTTACTACCCCACGAATAGATTTTTCCCTCAGAATTGAGCGCCAATGAATGCTCCAATCCACAAACTACTTTAACTGAAACATCAATACCATTAATCAGCAATTATTGTTGACATTTATAGAATTGTGCTTACATTGTGCTAACATTTTTATGAACGTCACAACAATATTAAAATATAAATATTACCTATTGTGACATCTCTCAATGAAGTGATTAAACATGGATCGTCACATGGATGGTCCCCTGTTGAGTTTATTCCTAATTGGCCATAAACATTTACGCCCCAACTATACAATTTACCATCTTTGCTAAGTGCCATGACGAAAGATGAACCACAAGCAATATGGACAATCTCCTTTTCCATTTTGTATTCGATTTGTACTCGATTTGGTGTACCGTAATAAATTCTTGATCTATTCTTAATGTCTCCCCAAGTATATATCTAAATTATAAACACTTATTCAACAAATAAACCAAAAACTACCATAATTTCTATACTTCAGTTATTATTTACTTCTCCATCGAATGTCAAAGCAAGACAAATGTAACTGTTGCATACAATATGTCTGATCTGTAATTTGAAATTAAATCGATCCTTCACATCCATTTTAAACGGCGTGTACGTTACGCATATGTTTCTCAATGCTTTTTCCAATCTATATATCTTGTTATTTCAAAAAATATTACTTATATTAAAAAAAAAGTTATATTATATTGTAGTAAAAAAAAATTAGTCATGTAAGAAAAATTTATTTATATCTTTTTAACTTTATCATGAATAAGGTTTATTATGAAATATGAAATATGAATGCAGAAATATGAAATATGAATGAAATTAAAAAAAAATAAAAGAATAAAAAATATAAATGCATTTCTTATAAAAATAAATATATAAAATATATTTATTTATAGACATTTTTAAGTATGTCTAAACTTCAATTGAAAATATTTTAACTATAATATATATTTTACCATACCCCTCCTTCCACCGTAACTGCAAAGATAGTTTTTGCATCAATACTGCAGCAAAAGGTGTTTATATTTTTCTTATATAATGTTTTTATTTCTTCTGGTTGGAAATAATCATTATCTAATCCCAATCCATCATCGTAATTGGTACCGAAGCTATATACCATTCCATCCTTAGTCATAATTAGAGCTGAATCTAGTTTAATATATCAAAACACAAATAACAATTCTGCAAAAGAAATAATAAGAATAATAAGAATAGTAAAAAATTACCACCTTCAAATGCCATAATCATATCAATTTGTGAGACAAATTCTTTATCCAGGAAGTAAAAGTTTTCCCACTTTTTAAGAACCGAATATCTACAGGTGGCAGGATAGCTTTGCGAATACATCCTTTCTTTTCTTTGTTTATTTCTGCCAATATCAAGTAATATTAATTATTTTACAATAAATTAATTTTAAGTATTATTATAAGTATTATTAATTATTTTACAATAAATTAATTTTAAGTACGTGTGATTAAAAGACATATGTAAAATTATTTTTACATAATTGTTTAGTAATGACATATACCCTTTAGCTTTAGAGAAAAAAAAGAATAAAAACAAAATGTCAAACTTTCTGATACATAAAATAAAAAATCAAACTTACTGCTCTTCGTGAATATTTCTTGGCTGTGTTCACTGTCAGCAAAAATGAACTCAACAATTGAACATACGCGGATTTAATAGGTAACCATGGCAGTGACTGTCTCTCTCTCTCTCTCTCTCTCTCTCTCTCTCTCTCTCCCCCCGCCCCAACTTATTAAAAAGAAGAAGACATTTAATTCCTACTTAGTCCTTAGCTGCTCAGTGAGCGATTGTGCTTCTGGATATATCCAATATGTTTTCCTTGTTCCGTGAAAGGTAACAAAGAATAATTAATTTTTTTATTACTAATTATTTAATACTAATTATTTTATTTAATGTGAAAAACATTTCATATTAAATATATAAAAATATTTTTTGACATTTCATGCTGATTCATTTCTTAATGAATAATAGAATAAAGGAAGGAAAAGTTTTTTTACAAATAGAATAAAAACATATTAATGGCATAATTATAAATTGTATTATTATTAAAATTCATGATTGTACACTTGCAAATATAATATTACTTCATTATTGTTTTATAAAATTTTTTCATGTTTTTATTACTTCACTTTTATCGTGGTTCTATTTCAAAATATATCGCATTATTACAACTTCCTATATATTTTTGCTTAATTTTTATTTTAAATACTAATCTATATGGTTTACCTTAAACGTTATATATAGCTTATTTCAAATACTAAATGTATATGGCTTATGGCTTAATGTATACTTATTGTTATAAAATCTTCATTACTTTGATGTAAAAATAAAAAATTTCTGAAAAAAATGTTCAGCTAGATAAATAATAAAGTAGTAAAGATATTTTTGACTCATTTTTCACTAAGGAATAACGTTATGTAATTCATAAATTACAATACATAACTATTATTATATATTTCTATACTATTATATATTTCTCTGCTGTAATTTTTAATTTTCAACAACCATTTAATCAAGGCTCCCAAGCGTCGGTTGTTTTCCATATAAAATCAAGTAGCAGTCCTTTACTTAAGTTGATCAAAGTTCCCGATTTTATTATATCAGACATCTGACCCGATGAAAATTGAACACAATATTCCACCAGATACTACAATTACATGCACATATGTGCGTACATATAAATAAATAGTAATTAGCGAATTATAAACATTATAAAAATGATATTATAAATTATAATAGTCACCTCTGCATTACATTCGGTTGCTTTTGCAAAACAAAGGACTACATTTGACACATTGATATTTTTCTCTATCATTTGCATGCACTTTATCTCAAGAGTTTTCTCAGTATATTTATTACACAATTTTAAAAGTTCTGTAACAAACCATTGCATTAATCGCGAATTAATAATTCATTTTAGCATTATTTAAACTTACCGAATGTCTCCTCCAAAGATAAATGATCGACCACATCAGTATAAAAATATTTCAAGAAAACTTTATATACATTGTAAGGGAAGTCATTGCATTTAACGGTATTATTATGAAACATAAAGAAAGTTTTTTAAATTTCTTATTACATATATATATATATATATATATATATATATATATATATGTATATTTACATATAACTCTGAATAAAAATATATTTAACTTTCTTACTTTTCCCTAGCTTCTCTCCAATCATGTTGAAGCATGTTTTTAAAATAATCACAACGAATCAGAATAGCTTTATGAACGTGAATATGTTTTCCCTCGACTTCTATTGTAAAATCGCTCGTCGACTGCATCGACAAAAAAAAAGGACAAAAATAATTTTTAATTTGTTTCTTATAATTGCATATAATATTAAATATTAATATGAGCATTTATCGAATAAAGTCGAAAAGAAGACATGCTGTTTAAAAGTTTATAATATTTATTCAATTAAACAGTTCCTTTTCTCTTTTTTCTTTCTCTTCTTAATATTTTGAATTATTTTGTTTTATATCTTATGAAGACAAAAGTTGCATGTAGAATAAAAAGATGCGTGACAGAAAACGGAAGATATACCTGATCATCGAATATTGTTTCCAGATGTTTCAATAAGTTTGATCTTTCTCTTATACCATGATAAATGATGTGTGGCATTTCATATTTGAATATGTTATGTATATTCGAACATTCAATTCTAATAGGTTTCCAAATAAGCAAGTGAGAATGACCCCATACATATACACTTCCGAGCTTGTTGACGGCTGCACTCACTTTATGTTGAGCGGCAATGTCGGATATAATTCCCATTGTTTTTCCATTTGCAGTCCATTTCAACTAAACGACATATGTTTTAATTTTCTCTCTATTTTTCATTTCCTTTATCGTGATTAAATAAATCATGATAAAGGAAATGAAAAATAGAGAGAAAATTATGATTAATTAAGTTAAACGATTACCTTAGTAGGTTCCTTTTTTACGGAACATTCTCTATCGTATCCTAACTGTCCTTCGTGGTTACTACCCCATGAGTATATATGTCCCTTGGAAGTGAGAGCCAATGAATGCTCCGATCCACAAACTATTTTATCTGAAACATGACAGATATAATCATTAGTTAAAAATTATTGTTGGTATTTATTGAATGCTGCGCTTAACATTTTTCCAAACGTCATAACAACGTAATTAAAAACAAATATTACCTATGTGGACATTTTCCAATGAAGTTATTAAACATGGATACAAGTCGTTTTCTGAGCTTATCCCTAATTGGCCATAAGTGTTTGTACCCCAACTATACAATTTACCATCATTGGTAAGTGCCATTACGAACGACATATCACAAGCAATCTGAATAATTTTCATCTTTTTCAATCCTGTCACTTGACATGGGTTCACTTGACATTGATCTGGTAAGCTTTTCTTTGTAAAGTTAACGCTTCCCCAGACATATATCTATAAATTAAAAAGAATTGTTCAACAAATTAAGACATCATTAAGATATCATTAATTTCTATACTTTGATTATTATTTACTTTTCCGCTGTCTGTCAAAGCAAGAGAATTGTAATTGTTGCTTGCAATATCTATAATGCGTTTCCCTCTTAAACTATCCATTTTAGCAGGAAGGTATGTGGTTGCAAGTGAATCCAATTTTCCCAATCTACAGTTGTCATTATAACCCCAGGAATATACCTTCAAAAAATATTACTTATATTTGAAAAAATTATTAGTTATTAAAAAAAATTAGTTATATAGGAAAAATGTTTTCGCTCACTACTCATTTAATTCCAAGAATAAAAAAATTATATTTTCCTATTAATCATTTTTAACTATTTCAATTGAGAATATTTTAATTGTAATATATATTTTATCATACCTCTCCCTCTTCCGTAAGTGCAAAGATACATTTTGCATCAGTACTACTATAAAAGGTTTTTATATTTTTACACACAATGCATCTACTTTTTCTGGTTTTTCTGGTTTTCTGTCATTAGCAAGATTCTCTGATAATCCCAATATACCATGAACATTGACACCCATACTATATACCATATCATCCTTATTCTTTATTAAAGCTGACTCTAATATAAAAAAAAAATAATATAAAAATATAAATAATAAAATAACATATAATAACATATAACAATAAAATAAAAACACATAATTTTACAGATGAATTAATAAAACTAATAAGATAATTACGAGTGCCAAATGCCATAATCATATGTATTTGTGATGTAAATTCTGCTTCCAACAAGCAACACATTTCCCATTCTTCGACATGTAGGCCTGTACAGTTCGTAGGATAGCTTTGCGAATACATACTTTCCTTTTCTTGTTTATTTCTGCAAATAATAATATCAATTAATAATATTAATGTCAATGTTTCTACTTTTTCTGGTTGAATGTAATCCTTATCTATTCCCAATTAATCATTGTAATTGATACCCAAGCCATATTGTCAAGTGTGTAATATTAATTATTTTACAACAAATTAATTTTATCTTAAGTATTTTTTGTCATTCTTAATTTCGATTCCACGTTAATAGATATGCATGATATAATTCTAACAATATATATTCTGTATAGAAAAAGAGAGTTTAAAAAAAGAAAAACGAGCTTTATTGATATGATAGATAAAATGAAAAATCAAACTTACTCTTCTTCATTAATATTGACGCAATGACGCCATAAAGAAATCAGCGAGGATAACATGTTTAACATTGTTAATATGAATAAAGGATAACGTTAAAGATTTCAAGAAAAAGACATGTTATAATCACACCCACAAACTTCTATGACTGCACTCGAAAATACTCCTAGCAACCCCCGGGGTGATGGGAAAAAATAGTAGAGTGGGGAAGAAATAGTAAAGTGACTCTCTGGTTGAGTTTCACCATTTCCGGGTGAAACTCAACCAGAGAGTCACTTTACTATTTCTTCCCCAATCAATATTTCTAAACACCCATCAGATTCAAAGTTTTATTTCGTTTTTTAATTTTGTATGTATCTCGGCAACGAATCGATTTTTCGGAAAAAATGTTCTGATACAAAAGTAATTAAGGACACTGAATATTATCTATGGAATAACTCAAAACTAATGCTTCTAATTCAAAAGGAGGATATCATAGTTGGTAATATGATAATATGGAAAAGCACATTCAATATTCCTCATGGTGACTAAAGTATGTATCCATATCTTTTTCAATTTTGATCTTTTTCCATCTCCAACGATTTTTGAAAAAAAATGTGATGAACTATTTATTAGACTGATTCTGTATATGTACCCACTGCTTTTATGTTATATATTTACGTGGCGTTCGCGTATTGCTTAGCGTTATTATGTGATAAAGACTTCTTTGATTCATTTTTTATTAAGGAATAACATTATATAATTGTAAATCATGATATCCTATATCATCTAATTACTAACCTACTGTAAGGATAAAATAAAATTTTTTTTTGCTCATTAAATCTGTTATATTCAAACATAATTTTAAAAAAACTCCATTATAATTCTCTTCTGAAATTTATAATATTAAAATGAACAATTTATGTTTTATAGGCACCAGCTTTGGCTGCTTTAATCATAAAATCAAGTTTCAGACTTTCATTTAAATCGGTGAAAGTTTCCGATAGTATCACATCAGTCATCTGACTCAACGCAAATTGAAAGCAAAATTCCTCTAAATCCTAAAATTACATGTATTATTACATACGTACATATAAATAAATTACGTTTAACGAATTATAAAAATTATAAAAATGATATTATAAATTATAAATCACCTTTACATTATTTTCAATTGCTTTTGCATAACAAAAAGCTACATTTGACACAGTAATATTTTCTCCTATTATTTCAATGCATTTTTCTTCAAGCTTTGTCTCATTATACTCATCACATAACTTTAAGAGTTCTGTAAGAAATTATTGCATTAATCACGAATTACAAGAGGAATTCAATTTAATATTTTATTAAAACTCACCGAATATTTCCTCCAAAGTTAAGTGATCGACCACATCGGTATATAAATATTTCAAGAAAGCTTTATACACATTGTAGGAGAATTGATCGTGCTCAATGATACTATAAACATATGTAAACATATGTATGGAACAAAATAAATTTAAAAAACTTTGAATAAAAATATAATTAGCTTCTTACCTTTGATTATTTTCTGCCCAATTATTTTGGAACATTTTTCTAAAGTATTCACAACGAATTTTCAGAATACTTTTGTGAACGTAGAGAAGTTGTTCCCCAATTTTTATCGTAAGATCGCTTGTCGACTACATCAACATAGAAAAATAGAAATAAAATTTTGTTTATATAATTTTGTTTATAATTTATTTTTTATGATTGCATACAATATTAAATCTTAATGAAAGCATTGCGTATGGAAAAAGATATGAGATAGAAAATGAAACGTACAAGATCGTTGAATGCTGCTCTCAGGTATTCCAATATGTTTGATTTTTCGTTTGTACTATCATGAATGATGTATGGTATTTTATATCTGAATATGTCATAGATGTTGGAATATTGGGTTCTAACAGGCTCCCAAATTATTTGGTAACAAACACGATGACCCCATACATAGACATGTCCAATCTTGTTAATGGCGACACTTTTATCATCTTGAGCGGCAATGTCGGATATCTTTCCCATTATAGGCGCACACAACTAACAATATATGTTTAAAATTTTTTGTCTATTTTTCATTTTATTTATCACGATTAGATAAATTTAACGGATTACCATAACAGGTTTTATTTCCCGTTCTGTCTTTTTACCATGTCCTAACTGTCCTTTACTGTTACTACCCCACGAATAGATTTTTCCTTCAGAATTGAGCGCCAATGAATGTTCCAATCCACAAACTACTTTAACTGAAACATCAATATCATTAATCAGCAATTATTGTTGACATTTATAGAATTGTGCTTAACATTTTTATGAATGTCACAACAATATTAAAAATAAATATTACCTATTGTGACATGTATTAATGAAGTGATTAAACATGGATCATAGTTCTCTTTTGTTGAGTTTATTCCTAATTGACCATAATTATTTAGGCCCCAACTATACAATTTACCATCTTTGTTAAGTGCCATGGCGAAAGACGAACCACAAGCAATATGAATAATATCGAAATTTACTTGATATGGTGTACTTACAATGTCATAATAGCTTGAACTATACTTAATGTTCCCCCAAGTATATATCTAAATTATAAACAATTATTCAACAAATAAACCAAAAACTATCATAATTTCTATACTTTAGTTATTATTTACTTTTCCACTGTCTGTCAAAGCAAGACAAATGTAATTGTTGCATGCAATATCTGTAATGTGTTCCCCAGTTAACCTAGTACTTAAACTATTTATTTGAGCAGGCATGTATATTTTTGTTTTCACTTCCAATTCTGGTCTTCCCAATCTACAGTTTTCATTAGAGCCCCAGGAATACACCTTCAAAAAATATTACTTATATTTAAAAAAAATTATTGTAAAAAAATTAATTATATAAGAAAATTTTTTTTATATCTTTTTAGAAATCATATTACAAATAAGATACCTGTTGTAAAATATGAATGCATTGAAATTAAAAATATTAAAATATGAATACATTGAAATTAAAAATAGTAAAATAATATATAAATACATGCATTATTATAAAGATAAATACATAAAATATATTAATGACTAAATAATGGCTTGTAAATATATAAAGTGTAAGAAATTAAATATAGTAATTCATATCCTTTTGTGTTAAATTATAATACTTATACATTCATTTATTACATTCATACACAAATTTAATTCATTTAATCCATGAATGCAAAAATCATATTTATTCAGTTTAATCATTTGTTTCTTTAAAATTCAATTGAGAAATATCTTAACTAATATATATTTTACCATACCTCTCCTTCCTCCGTAACTGCAAAGATAGATTTTGCATCAATACTGCAGTAAAAGGTTTTTATATTTATCTTACATAATGTTTTCATTTCTTTTAGTTGGATGTAATCCTTATCTAATCCCAATTCACCATCGTAATTCGTACCCAAGCTATATACCATTCCATTCTTAGTCATAATTAGAGCTGAATCTAGTTTAATATATCAAAACATAAATAACAATTCTGCAAAAGAAATAATAAGAATAATAAGAATAGTAAAAAATTACCATTGTCAAATCCCATAAACATATGAATTTGTGAGGTTATTTCGTTATCCAGGAGGTAAAAAACTTGCCACTTTTTAAGATCCGAATATCTACAGGTGGCAGGATAGCTTTGCGAATACATCCTTTCTTTTCTTTGTTTATTTCTACCAATATCAAGTAATATTAATTATTTTACAATAAATTAATTTTAAGTACGTGTGATTAAAAGACATATGTAATATTATTTTTACATAATTGTTTAGTAATGACATATATCCTTTAGCTTTAGAGAAAAAAAAGAATAAAAACAAAATGTCAAACTTTCTGATACATAAAATAAAAAATCAAACTTACTGCTCTTCGTGAATATTTCTTGGCTGTGTTCACTGTCAGCAGAGAGAAGACTGAGAAGGGTCATGCTGCCCTTTTTCAGGGAACGCTTTTTTCCCGCCATAAAGTGGCGCTAACTGGATCAATTTTACAACCGGCGGTACTACGTGGCCGGATCCACTTTTCGCTGCCACGGTAAAACGACCGATTGGTTCATGTCCGTGCTAGATCCATAATTGTGAATCTCAAAAGTACGAAACATATCATACATTTATTAATTTTTATTACATATTATTAACAGCGCGTGATCTTTTTTCACTTTAGCATATATTATAAAGTAATATATATGTATATGCGTGTATAATATATATAAAATTAAAATGCTTATTTTATTTCACATAAAATTTAATTTTTTAATAATTTTAATAAAAGTATTTTAAAATATATATGTGTATGTTACTCCAATAATAAATATTACCAAAATGAAAAAAAGATCATACGCAATAATATTTTGTACTCTGATTGAGAGGGAAGTACTCTGGTTTCACCATTTCCGGTTAAACTTAATCGGCCGATTAACTCACTCTTTGTCTTCTTCTAACTATGCCTTTAGAGAAAGATAGAGGGTGAAATAAGATTATATGTATTTAAAAATTATATATGTATTAAAAATAAATGTACATTAATCATTAAATGGACGTTTATGAAAATTAAGTTAAAATATTTAACAACACGACAAGAAAACTGGCTAACTATATCTTGGTAAATGCATAAAGTAAAATATATGCATATGCCTCGTTCTCGTTTAAATTTTCGCGTATAATTAAAGAATTTTTAGGCATTACCATCCGCTGTGGCTCGGAGACGCTAGTTTTCTTATTTTGTTGTTTAATACATAACGAGCCTAATTCCTTTCGATTTAGTTTAATTCACGCATAACTGAAAAGATCGCGTTTCATTTTCCACAGTTATAAATAAATAGACGAGAGTGATATCGGTGTGGGGCTGAATAGCTCAGTGGTAAGAGCAGTCGCCCGGCAAGCGAAAGACTCGGGTTCGATTCCCGATTCAGCGACTTTCGCCCCGATATTGTTCTCATCTAGGTCTCTTCAGGAGGATAAAGAGGTTTTTATAGAATTCTCAAAAATGAGAATCTATATATCTTGGTAAATGCGCCAAGTAAAATATATGCATAGGCCTTGTTCTCGTTCAAATTTTTAGGCATTACCATTCGCTGTGGCGGATTATATTGGTAAGTGCCATTATGAACGACATACCACAATCAATATGAATAACGTTCTCCTTTTCCAATTTTCCTACTGGATATGGTTGAGCTTGTAAAACATGATTTGTAACCTTTCCTTCTTCTGTAAGTGCGTAGAAACATACTTCATCACGACTAGAGTGAAACGATATTACATTTGTTTCACATAATGCCTCCACTTTTACGGGTTTTACGTACTGGTCTTTAATTGGTAATCCCAATCTCCCATTACAATTTTTTCCAACTCCATATACCATATTATTAGTCATCTTTATTAAAGCTGAATCTAGTTGATAAACATAAATAATATAAAAACAAAATTAATAATTAAATAATAATTTTACAAATCAATTAATAAGAATAGATTATTACCAGAGTCAAATACCATTATGATATTTATTTTTGACATAAATTCTTCTTCTAAGTAACATATTTGCCATTTTTCTAGGTATTCATAGTCCATAGGATATTGCGAATACGTCCTTTTCTTGCTTGGTTCATTTCTTCCCATAATAATATCAATTAGTAATATTAATGTCAAATAATATTAATTATTTAACAACAAATTTATTTTATCTTAAATATTTTTATGTCATTCCGTTAATTTCGATTTCACATTAATAGATAGCCGTGATATTATTTTGATATAAATGTAACAATATATATTTTTTACAGAAAAAGAGAATTTAAAAACGAGAATCGAATTTTATTGATAGATAAAATGAGAAATCAAACTTAATGTTCTGCATTTGTATCCCTCCAATAATGACGCAATAAAGAAGTCAGCGATCTTAACGTTCTAAACATGATAACGTTGTTAAAAGATAACGTTAAAAATTTTAAAATGGTATATATAAGACGTAATAAGTATTACACCGTACATATGCGAGGAATTTCCTATTCTATTTCTCCTTTTTATTTATATATTTGTCGTGAGAATACAAAGTCAAAAAAAACACACATAAGAGCGCACGCGCTATTTCACGTCCGTTATTTTGATTTTATATTCTCACAATAAATAAAAATATGAACAAAAAGAAAGAGAATTAAAGAAAAAGAAAAATGCGATAATATGAATAAAAATATAGATAGGTAATTAGACAGATAAAATAGATAGATAGGTAAATAGATAGCTAAAGAAAGAGGGGGGGGGGGGAGAGAGAGAATAATTTTGTTTTAAATAAATTTCCTTATTTTGAGAATATGCATTTTAACATATTGCGATCTATTCGTTGACATATATCTTGACTAGATGTAAATATCTTACCTTTTTTAGCGATACTAGTAATAAAATTCAATTGAATTCACGTATGTTTAATTATATTTTTATTTTCTCTTATTACATAAATCTTCGCAGTGTAATTTTAATATTTCTACACCATCTCTTTCGATTTAGAATGCATCATTATTCGTCGTTCACAATTTCGAGAAGGAAGGAAAGTTAGAACTAATGTAGAACTAATGTAGAACTAATGTTTTAGTTTAATGTCAATAACCGCACGATTTCGATTACACCAAAATTCATTCAATATTAAAAGATTGTATTATCGTGGATTTTTATTATATACACTCGTGTTTTCGCCTACCTATAACACAATAAGATGTTGTAAAATATAAAATACAAATACGAGAATAAATTAATGAGATTCATGCAACAGACTCCTCTCGGGAAAAGATCGAAAGAAGATCTTTGTTTCTCGAAAGATCGCAGATTCAAAAGCCAACAGAAACATTCAAAGTATTCGAACGATCTCTGAGATTCAATTCTTAAATTCATTCGCAAGAGAAATATATCCATAAATTCTGCTCTTACATGCAAGGTGTAAGTTGATTGACTTGACACATGGCTTCTAGCCAGTTAACTTATACATTTCTCGCAAAAATAGAATTTGCGTATATCTTGCGAATGAATTCAAGAATCGGGACTTTGGTCATTAACAGAAATCACTTAACAACATCAACACATACGATCAAACGAGTACTCTGTCCAGAGTTGAGTCAATCGACTACGAGAAAAAAGATTTGACGCAGCGATTCCCTGCCGAGTCGCCCTTTGAACTTTGTTCACCTTTCGAGGCCGGGAATCTTCCCGTTTAAACGGCACCGGAAGCGAGCGAATTCGCTGGAGAACCGAAAATCCTGGTGAAGAGAACGGTACGATCATGCTTGTCGTAGATCAGGTAGATGAATGGATGATTGGCGTTGAAGATGGCGAGCTCGGTGGGTCGGCTGGAGCGAAAGGTGAAGATCGCGGTGGCCGCGGCCGCAGTGGTTCCTTCCTCAGTGACTTCAATGCGCGCTCGATGAATGGCATCGCCGAGATGTAGGCTCGGCTTGCCAAAGTCAGCGACAAAGCCGCGCAAATCAGCTGCTCCGGGTGACAGCAGTTCCCCGGCATTCAGAGCGTATAACAGTTGATTTTATATTCTCTAAACTAAATCAGCTGCAGCTCTCGTTCGATCTAGAAATCGAACATGCAATCGCGTAGCTTCCTAGAATTTGTGATTTAAAATTTATTGACGACTTTGTACTCATAATCCGTGGATTCGTTTATCTGTAACAAAAAAAACATTAGGGATAAGAAAATTGTTCATGTAAGAAATTTCTCAAAGAAATGAGTGTTGCTAAAAGCTTGACATTTATATCACTCGAGTTTATTGACATAATTAAAGAATATTTTTGGTTTCAAGATAATAAATAAAATCGAGTATTTGCATAAATAGGACTGTTAATTTTCGAAAGATAAATATCTAGAAAATCTAGAACTGTGTTACTTTCTTCTCTAAAATTGTGAAGTATATTTCGCATTCAAATTATTTATTTATTTTATATTCAAGTAATTCGCAATTAAATCAGTCTATACGATATATCTCGATCTCTCTTTAGATATACATTACAACAAAACAAATTTCATAGCTTCTTAAGTGAGAATTTTATATTATTCAGTTTATTTCTTTAATTTAATTAATTTTTAATTTAATAATGATATATTAATTATATATAATAATTATATGTAATAAATAATTTAAGTTAAGTAGTTAAAAAAAATATTAATTTATAAAGTTAAAGATAATGTAATATATAATTTTTATTATTTTAAATTGTAATTAATTTTTATTATTTATCTTTGTCTGTATATATTAATTTTAAAGTCTATAACATTTTTAATTAGTTCATATTTATTGGACTTAAGGATTATATCTGAATAACTAATATTCAGTTTTAATTCAATTAATATAGAATCTTTTATTTTATAATATTAAAATTAAGAATTAAAACATTTCGTCGCAAAACGATAAAGTCGTGAAGTCATCTAGGGACACTTCTTTTTGTATATTTAAAACTTTAAGAATATTTTTAATTTTTAAGAAAATAAATATAAAGTAAAATCTCTTTTCACAAATAGAATTTTTAATTTTCAAGAGATGATAAATTTTTGAAAGTGTATTACTCTAAAACTATTAAATTATTTTATCCTCGAATTATTTATTTAATTATTTATTAATTTCACATACAATATATTCATAATTAATTCAATCCACGATATCTTAATTTTACAATAATAGTCTATCTAATTTTTGTAGTTTGCCTAAGCAAAAAGCTCACATTATTCAATTTTGTTGTGTCCGATTAAGGACATTTTGTCGCAATGACACATTCTAAAATCGTCCAAGGACTCCTGCCATATATTTAATTACAATCTCGGGGATCCGGAGATATTGATATAACGATAAATCGCGTGCGATTCGTCTTGATTTCACCTCGCGCGGTGGACGATTACGCAATTTGACAGAATCTGCTGGAATTGCTCACCTGGGAACGCAACCGATTGAGCGATTTTTCGAAAGCGCAACAACATTGCACGTCAACATTGGACAACTATTCGAAAATACGAAGGGCCCGTTTAAAGGAGCTCTCGGTTGTGCCACGGGCCGTGAAATACGCTAAGCTCATAGATGTTATGTAAGCTCAAGAAGATATTATCCTTCGACTCAATTAGAGCTGTCCAGCGCAAAGTCGAAGCAGGCGTCTTTCAGCGACATCTTGGACGTCGGGTCCATCATCGTAGAAACATCGTTTTCCGTTAGACGTTGCGCTGAAATCATGCTGATTGCCCGCGACAGCAACAGTGTCACCTGAAAAACAGGAAAAATAGTGTAAGAAATGACTATTAAAAAGTCAAAATGTTTAGAATATTTTAACATAAGATGTTTTATATAATTTTATTATATATAAATAATATTATTATAAATAATAATATCAGTATATAAATAATATTATTATAAATAATAATATCAGTATGTTTAATCACTTTGTTGTCTCCGTGTTTCTCAATTTTCTTTCGCAACATATAAGCTTTCTAATTTTGCAAATATATTATTTCCTACATAAATATATGTTTCGATTTTGGGAAAATGAATGAAGAAAAATTATAGACAAAAATATATGTATATTAGATATGTTAATTTTTTTTATTTTTACGATTTATTTCTTATTCGACCGCTATTTATTTATTGAACACGTCTGTTGTCGAGAAATTAAGGAATTCCGTGCAAATAAAGCTCACATTATTCTCTCGTTTAAGTATTCGTATTTGAGAGGAAAAGACTTTCTCGCTCGGCAGAGAAAGCGGACGTGGAATCGTTTGATGCAAAACACGAGACAGCCTAGAAAAATATGTGGTCCACATATAAATATACAAAAAATGTAGACTACATATATATATAATTTTTTTCCGATACTTTGCAGCACAGTTTCGCACGCAACAGTGGTCTCTGATTTATGAGGATTTTTAGATCATGCGTATCACAATTATTATGTATCGAGAAACCGATTGCGACTGGATGCATAATCTTTTCGATCCGAATACAATCTAATAATTCAGAGAAAATTTACTCAAATCTTCAAGGACTTAAATTTCCGATTTATATCTGAATTTTCTAAAAATAAATGATAGAATTATATATCTCTTCTCTCTTCGCAATTGTATATCACGATTCATCCGGTATATTTTCTCTATTATTCGAAAAGTGATGCAACTGCACGCGAATCCCCTTTACAACTTCCTTCTTCAAGACAGTACTCTCAGCCCTGCACAATGCGTATGGCGAAATTGCGGCCGGATCGGAAATCGGGGGCTAGGAAACGAGAGAAAGTAGCTAGCACTGTATGTGATCATCATAGGGCATCCGGCTTTCTTGGCTGAAATTAACGCGTGACGAAGGTGGCATTTTCGAATAAAGATAGAATCGTCGCAATTGCATCTAGGCAGCGTGAAATTTCTGCTTGACAATTAATAGCAACGGTATGTAGCGTAATTACTGACGGCACGATAGCGTGGCCATCGTAAAAATTTTCTTCACTTTCTCGATAAAGTTGGGAGCTAGGATTAAAGTCAGAATAAAAATCGTCCCTCACAATTAAAATTAGAAATTTAAATTAGAATTGAAATCATTCGATAGAATCAGAAGAAAAATTAATTGAAATTGGGATTAAAAATAAGAAAAAATTGAAATTCTATTAACAGTTTGAATTCAAATTTGGTTTTAAATTAAATAATGAAAATTCATCGAAAGTTTAGTCATTTTCGTTTTTTATAAATTATTTAAAACATTTCAAGCAATTGGATAAAATTAATCTTTGTATATTTGTCTTTTCTTTAGTTTGTCACACGTTTTTCTCAGAATTTGCTTACAAGCAATATGTCGTTATCATTAATTTTATAACAACAAATCGTTCAAATTTGATAAAATTTATTAGAACAATTTTTTTAGAAATTTTATAATCATATATGAAATTCTTGTGGATATATAAATAATATTATTATCAATCATGATCGCATCTTGTGTGTATTAGATATCGATCGTGTTGAAATTAAAAATAGAATTAAAACCAGAATGAAAACAAGCTTGAGTGAATTAAAAGTGAAACGTGGAATCCGAAAAAAATCCGTTTGAATTAAAATTAACGAGCTCGACTTAAAATAGAGATAATTATGAATTAAAATTAAAAAATTCAAACTAGAAATGTCAAGTAAAAATTTGAGAGAATTAAAAGTTGATTTTTTTTATGAGATCTAAATTAAAATATCGCGGGAATCGCTACCGAATTCCTCGTTTGTATATCCTTTTTGTTTATATGATGATCACGTATCATGTACAATTCATGACAAGCTTGCTCACGAAGTAGTTTTTGCCTGTTTCATTCTTGGAAGCAAATTTTTCTTTTTTTTTACGAACGATTAAATAGCTCGATTAATTAATTACTTATTAAAAAATTTATGAATGGGCAATGCCATCGAAAATCAACAGTAGCTCTCTCTCTCTCTCTTTTTCTCTACAGAAACATTTAAAAATTTGATTAACTCATCACAATCATAACAGAAAAATTGTAATGTTAATGAATTGAAATTCTTCTATTATTAACTTAGGGATTAACGAATAACGTTCACGTGAAATTACAATCACATTTGATGTTAAATATATTTACATCGGTAATATTTACGAGTAGCTGTTAAGGAATTCTATTCTCTGATGATATCACCGCGTGTTTATAATAAAAAACTGTCCGATGTTTCACAATAAACACATGTATGATATTAATATGTTGTGAATATCTTTATTACATAAATTCCAATATGACATTGCTTCAGATAAAACGAGATAGAAATAATCAATGCTTAGGCATGATTGTTGAAACACGAGGAAGTTATTTTTCACACACTGAATTATCACTACGAATGTTTTATTTATGGAATCTTCGATTGATTTTACAGTCGATTTTTACATCAAAATAAAATACGTATGAACTAATAGTGGATTTAAAATTTATTCTATTAAAGAAATCTATAAACTTTATCTTATATGAATCTAAGTTTATAAACTTATTATTATAATAAACTTATTATTATAATAAAAAATCTATAAGCTTTGTCTTTTTTCTAAGGAAGATATTTCCAAAAATTTTTGGACATGAGAACCGACTATTTTAATTAAAAATATTTCTTTTTCAAATACGATAAAACACATTTTCAATCAATTTAGAAATTAAGACGAAGAGGCAAAAATATTCTCAATCTTTCAATAAGATTTATCGGGATTGAACTTGTATTGGAGCAATAGTCAGGAGGTCATTCTTCAAGGAAATGCAACAACATTGACATCTTTAAAAAGCGGTTCCCAACAACGCGAACAATATTCTATCGAATTTCGAAAATCATTTTGTCTCTTTGATGGAATGAAGTAGAAAAAACGCGAGTGGAACAGACGATACAGTGGCACTCACTGTGAAGAACGATATGGTTGGGCACTTCCTCGAAATTCCAGTGAATTGAGAGATCACAACGATGATATTCGTTGATCGATTATTACAGCACGTCCGAGTCTCGATCAAGAAGAAGAAGGACTGAAGGCTGCGACCATTAAAAGAAGAGAATGTCTGAAGTGGCCCCACTCTTTTCCCACTTTGTCACGTTTGAAGAACGTCACGACGTACACAACAAGCAATGTCCAGGATCGGATTCAATCGAGAAGCGCCAGAAATTAAATTTTACTTGAATTTTATGCAAAAGCTAACATAAAAGATTCATCGAGTTTAATCTACGTCTAAGATATTGCGTGAAGTAATAATGTGTAAGATAATACGCATGATATAATCATAAAAATTGTGTTTTTTAATTAGCAAAAAGAAGCTATTAATTTAAAAATTATTAAGAAAACAAAATTAAATTGCCGAAAAATGTAATTTTTTTTGGAGAAAAATTAATTGTCGATTTATTTCAAAATTTCTTATTAAATTCTTAATGGATATTCCATGGAATCTTTTAAATGGTTTATAGTAATATACAAATATATTATTACAATAATAATATTTCAGAAATCAAGTTTTTCTCACATAAGTTATAATACAAGTTATATTTTCTTACAATTATCTTCAATTTTAATCAACGTCTATATAACGTCTATAAAGGAAATAAAAATTGCCGTGATAATAATTATTCATATAAATTGTTTTTATATAAATTGAAATATATCATAAATTTTCAGTATGATATTATAATTAATTGTAACGTAGCGATTATAATTGATTGTATCTTTATTGTAATTGATTGCATCTTTATTATTAGCATCTTTATTATAGCTTTGCAAATATCGCTCTTCCTCTTTTCTATCAATATCAAATAATATTAATCATTTTGCAACAAATTAATTTTATCTTAAGTATTTTTTATGTCATTTTGATTCCATGTTAATAGATATTATTTTGATATAATTGTTCAGTAATGACATATATTCTTTACGGAAAAAAAGAATTTTAAAAAATCAAACTGTACTGTCAAAATAAGAAATGAAACTTACTGTTATGGGGCGGCATGTGGCTGAGATGGCAAGGTGCCTGCTATATAAAAGGTTTCAGGTTCAAGTCCATTGAGGCAGAAATATTTATTTCGATGATGTAGCCGCCCCAATGCTCCTCATTCTCCTCCCTTCTTATGTCCCCTGACGTTATACTCTATAGATTATTAATATTCTATAGAGTATAGGGCAATTATTGACATTTGTGGAGTTAGGCTTAAGGTTTTTACAAATGTCATTGTTTACAATATTATTAAAAAGGAGGATATTATAGTTGGTAATATGATAATATGGAAAAGCACATTCAATATTCCTCATGGTCATTAAAGTACGTATCCCTATCTTTTTCAATTTTGATCTTTTTCCATCTCCAACGATTTTTGAAAAAAAAATGTGATGAACTATTTATTAGACTGATTCTGTATATGTACCCTGCTTTTATGTATATTTACGTGGCGTTCGCGTATTGCTTAGCATTGCATATATATAATTTTTGCATCGTAATTGAATCGGAACTTGCAAACTTCGTCCTTTGTACATTTCTGTTATCTAAAATTCTTCAACAAATAACACTGCTTCAACAAGAACACTTTCTGTATGTAAAATTACCAGCGTCGTTTATTCTCATTAAAAAATCAAATAGCAGTTCTTTACTTGACCAAAGTATCCGATTTCATTATATTAGACATCTGATACGATGAAAATTGAATGCAATATTCCACCAGATACTACAACATTACATGCACATATATGCGTACATATAAATAAATTGCAATTAGCACATTATGAAAAATATAAAAATTATAGATATTATAAATTCTAGTTACCTCTGCATTACATTCGGTTGCCATTGCAAAACAAAGGGCTACATTTGATACATTGAGATTTTCCTTTATTATTTCAACATAAATAATATAAAAACAAAATTAATTATTAAATAATAATTTTATAAATGAATTAATAAGAATAGATTATTACTAACGTCAAATGCCATAATCATATCTATTTGTGATGTAAATTCTCCTTCCACAACGAGTAACACATTTTTTGCCATTTTTCATATCTAGGTATCTATATTTCGTAGCTTTGCAGATACATCCTTTCCACTCTTTGTTCATTTCTGCCCATAATAATATCAGTGAGTAATATTAATGTCAAATAATATTAGTTATTTTACAACAAATTTATTTTATCTTAAATATTTTTTATGTCATTCTGTTAATTTCGATTTCATATTAATAGATAGACGTGATATTATTTTGATATAAATGTAACAATATGTATATTCTTTACAGAAAAAGAGAATTTAAAAAAGGAAAATCGAACTTTACTGATAGATAAAATGAGAAATCAAACTTATTGTTCTTCATTTGTATTCCCCCAATAATGACGCAATGAAGAAATCAGCGATCTTAATATTATTAATATGATAATGTTGTTAAAAGATAACGTTAAAGATTTAAAAATAGTATATATAAGATACGTGACACGTACATATGCGAGGAATTTCCTATTCTATTTCTCCTTTTTATTTATATATTTGTAGTGAGAATACAAAGTCAAAAAAATGTACATAAGAGTACACGCGCTATTTCGTGTTCGTTATTTTGATTTTACATTCTCACAATAAATAAATATATGAACAAGAAGAAAAAAAAAGAATTAAAGAAAAAGAAAAATGCGATAATATGAATAAAAATATAGATAAATAATTAGACAGATAGAATAGATAGATAGATAGATAAATAGGTAGAGAGATATAAATAAAGAAAGAGAGAGAGAGGGAGAGAAAGAGAATAATCTTGTTTTAAATAAATTTCCTTATTTTGAAAATATGCATTTTAACATATTGCGATCTATTCGTTGACATATATCTTGACTAGATGTAAATATTTTACCTTTAATTCGTAAATCTCTCCTTTAGCGAAACAGTAGTAATAAAATTTAATTGAATTCAATTTCGAACAGATTAATGGAAATATTCAGAATCTTCCTGAGTAAATATGTAAGCCAAGCTCAAAATTATTTATATGCTGTATTAAATATGTATTTTATATACGCTATATTGATATTTTTGTAAAAGATATGATTCGGCTCTAAAGTAAACATGTCATCGACTATATAATCAATATTAAATAACTTTTCAATTAATATTATATCAATATAAATTTTTCAATCAATAATAATTTTTCAAGGAATCGCAATATTAAAATAAATATTATAGATAACGTTATTATTATAGTAAAATGAGTATTATTATAGTAACGTTAATATGATTTAAAAAAATGTATGCACATAACTTTTACACGTATGTTTAATTATATTTTTATTTTTTCTTATTACATAAATCTCCGCAGTGTAATTTTAATATTTCTACAACATTTCCTTCGATTTAGAATGCATCATTATTCGTCGTTATGCAATTTTGAATTCGAGAAGGAAGGAAAGTTTGTAGAACTAATGTTTCAGTCTAATGTCAATAACCGCATGATTTCGATTATATCAAAATTCATTCAATATTGAAAGATTGTATTAACGTTGATTTTTATTATATACACTCGTGTTTTCGCCTACCTATAACACAATAAGATGTCGTAGAACATAAAATCTAAATACGAGAATAAATTAATGAGATTCATGCAACAGACTCCTCTCGGGAAAAGATCGGAAGAAGATCTTTGTTTCTCGAAAGATCGCAGATTCAAAAGCCAACAGAAACATTCAAAGTATTCGAACGATCTCTGAGATTCGATTCTTGAATTCATTTGCAAGAGAAATATATCCATAAATTCTGCTCTTACATGCAAGTTGTAAGTTGATTAACTTGGCACATGGTTTCTAGCCAATTAACTTATAAATTTCTCACAAAAATGGAATTTGCGTATATTTTACGAATGCATTCAAGAATCGGGACTCTGGTCATTAAAAGAAAGCACTTAACAATATCAACACACATAATCAAACGAGTACTCTGTCCAGAGTTGAGTCAATCGACTACGAGAAAAAAGATTTGACGCAACGATTCTCTGCCGAGTCGTCCTTTGAACTTTGTCTATCTTTCGATGACGGGAATCTTCCCGTTTAAACGGCACCGGAAGCAAGCGAGTTCGCTGGAGAACGGAAAATCCCGGCGAAGAGGACAATATGATCACGCTTGTCGTAGATCAGGTAGACGAATGGATGATTGGCGTTGAAGATAGCGGGCTCGGTGGGTCGGCTGGAGCGGAAGGTGAAGATCGCGGTGGCCGCGGCCGCAGTGGTTCCTTCCTCAGTGACTTCAATGCGCGCTCGATGAATGGCATCGCCAAGATGTAGGCTCGACTCGCCATCGGCGACAAAGCCGCGCAAATCTGCTGCTCCGGGTGACAGCAGTTCTCCAGCGCCCAGAGCGTACAACAGTTGATTTAGCTGCAGCTCTCGTTCGAGTTCGAAGCGTGGCAGGTTTACTTCGACTTCCCGCGGTGGCATCCCATCATCGAGAAGCTGACGGAGCTCTCGGGAACCCTTCTCGGTAGCCAATCGCTCCACCAGCTGACGAATGCCATCCTGCGGCTCCGAGTCCTGAGAAAGGGCTCGCGCGTTGGAGAACGGGGGCAATAATACGAACATCGATATGTCGTTACCCTTGTAAGGTAGCTCCAAAATGTACACGCCTAATTCCTCCGAGACGACTGGAAAGAAAAAGATTGCGCTTAGTATTTTAAGAAATGATATAAATTAAGAATTTATTCTAGTGATATGAAGAATTGAAAAATTTTTAGGATTTTTTTTTAAGTATATTAGAAATTGATCATTTTACACAAGTGTGTATTGATTTTGAAATGGTACGTAAATATTTTTAAATTTGGAACACTTTGCTTTTTTTCTCAATAAGACACAATATATTTAAAAATATATGATTTAATGACGTGCTGTAATTATTTGAAATAATAAACATAGATTAATTTTATTTCACAGTATATTTTTGGGACATAATCCTAATTTCATTAGAAAAAAATTGAAAAACAAAATCGTGTTATTTTAAAATTAGATATTGCAATTTTGTTGAAACGTTTTTATTTCTTGAAGAATTTAAAAAATATTAAATATTAAATGTTAATTATTTAAATTGTAATTTAAGATTTAATATTCCTACAAAAATATTAAATTTTGTTAGTAATTTACTTTAATTAAGTTAGTTAAATTATTTCTTTATATGATTTGGAAACGGGTAAAATCTCATTATAATTAAAGAAGAATTTAAAACAAATTTAATATTTGTTTAAATCATAAAGATTCTCAAGAAGATTAAAATTAATCAAATGAAATAAAAGAATGGAAACACCTTTCCAATGGAAAGAATAATATTTCGCGACAGGTACAAACGCGAAAAGGCGCTTTTGTCTATTCAAATAAATCATAATAAAGATTTTTTATAATACCATATCTTAAATTGCATTGTTGCTATTCCTTTTTATAAAAAAATTAATTAATGTTTAAAAAATTAGATTATTAAGATTCGTATCATTCAGGAGGATATATTATTTTTAAAGATATATTATTCAGATTATTAAGACTTAAGAATATAGGCAAATCAGAATGAAGTGAATAGCATGAAGTAAATAGCATGAAGTGAATTTTCTTACCATGATTAAAGTTTCCTTTCTGACGCATAAAGGTGATAACAGAGTTTTGTGTGCCGGAAACGTAGAAGATATCGCGCTTGGAATTCTTAGGATCGAAGCGCTGAGCCCATAGGCCTTTAAAATACGCCGCATTTGCCAGAACCAGATCCGTATCCCCGCTGATGCTATTGGGTGGCAAGAGATCACGAATATGACCTTTTGTCATATTGCTGACCCAATCGTTGATGCGAGTCCTCACCTCGGCGGGATTTGTACGGAAATCGGTCACTTGCATTTGATCACCGAAGAAATCGAACATGCAATCGCGTAGCTTCCTAGAATTTGTGATCCAAAATTTGTTGGCGACTTTATACTCATAATCCGTGGATTCGTTCTGTAACAAAAAACATTAGGGATGAGAAAATTGTTGACGTAAGAAATTTCTCAAAGAAATGAGTCTTGCTAAAAGCTTGAAATTTATATCACTCGTGTCTATTGACATAATTAAAGAATATTTTTGATCTCAAGATAATAAATAAAATCGAGTAAATATATATTTCGCATAAATAGGACTGTTAATTTTCGAAATATGATGAATATCTAGAACTGTGTTATTTTCTTCTCTAAAATTGTGAAGTATATTTCACATTCAAATTATTTATTTATATTCAAGTAATTCGCAATTAAATCAGTCTATATGATATATCTCAATATCTATTTAGCTACACATTATAACAATATAAATTTCATAGCTTCTTAAGTGAGAATTTTATATTATTCAGTTTATTTCTTTAATTTAATTAATTTTTAATTTAATAATGATATATTAATTATATATAATAATTAAAATTCAGTAGTTTAAAAAAATATTAATTTATACAGTTAAAGATAATATAATATATAATTTTTATTATTTTAAATTGTAATTATTTTATATTATTTATCTTTGTCTGTATATATTAATTTTAAAATCTATAATATTTTTAATTAATTTATATTTATATTTATTGGACATAAAAATTATATCTGAATAACTGAATATTCAGTATTAATTCAATTGATATAGAATCTTTAATTTTATTAAAATTAAGGATTAAAACATTTCGTCGCAATGAAACGATAAAGTCATGAAGTCATCTAGGAACATTTCTTTTTGTATATTTAAAACTTTATTAAGAATATTTTTAATTCTTAAGAAAATAAATATAAAGTAAAATCTCCTTTCACTAATAGAACTTTTAATTTTTAAGAGATGATAAATTTTTGGAAGTGTATTACTCTAAAACTGTTAAGTTATTTTATCCTCGAATTATTTATTTATTTATTAATTCCACATACTATGTATCCATAATTAATTTTTTTTTCACGATTGCTCAATTTTATAATAACAGTCTAATTTTTATAGTTTCCAAGGCGAAAAGCTCACATCTTTCAATTTTACCCGATTAAGGACATTTCGCCGCAACGACAGGATCTTAAAGTCGTCCAAGGACTTCTGCCATATATTTTATTAGAACCTTGGGGATCCGGAGGTGTTGATGTAACGATAAATCGCGCGCGATTCGCCTTGACATACCTCGGGCGAAGTAAATCGCATGGCGAATGATTACGCAATCTGATAGAATTTGCTGGAATTGCTCACCTGGGAACGTGGCTGATTGAGGAATTTTTCGTAAGCGTAAAAACGTTGCATGTCGACTTTTGACAGCTGTTCGGGAATACGAAGAGCCTGTTTAAGGGAGCTCTCGGTTGTGCCACGGGCCCCGAAGTACGCTAAGCTCAGAGCCTGATGGATGCTGTGCGGGCTGAAGAAGATATTATCCTTCGACTCTATCAGCGCTGCTTTCTTCAGACTGTCCAGCGCGAAGTCGATACGGGCGTTTGTCAGCGATATCTTGGACATCGGGTCCATCATCGTAGGAACGTCGTTCCCCGTCAGACATTGCGCTGAAATCATGCCGATTGCCAGCGACAGCGACAGCATCGCCTAGAAGACAGGAAAAAAGGTGTAAAAAATTAATGTTATTAAAAAGTTAAAATATTTTAACGTAAGATATTTTATATAATTTTATTATATAATTAATTATAAATTAAAATATAATTTTATTATATGTATAACTATTACATTACTAATATTATCATAAATAATAATATCAATATATTGATAAACGCTTTGTTTTTCTCTGCGTTTCTCAATTTTCCTTCGAGACGTTTAAATATTTTCGGATCTTACAAATATATTATTTACTATACATAAAAATATATTTCGATGAAATATTAATGAAAGAATATTATTGATAAAAATATTGCGTTGGATTTTTATGATTTTTTCGATTTTCACGATTTATCTTTTATTCGATCGCTATATTTATCGAGCTCGTCTGTTGTCGAAAAATTAAAGATATTCCACGCGAAGCTGACATCGTTCCCTCAAGTATTGGCGTTCGTGAGGAAAAAAACTTTCTCGCTCGGCAGAGAAAGCAGACGTGGAATCGTACGTTCGATGCAAAACGCGAGACACACTGGGAAAAAATGTGGGCCATCTATAAATATACAATATTTTTTTTTCGATACTTTGCAACACAATTTCCCACGCAACAGTAGTCTCTGATTTATGCGGATTTTTAGAACACGTATCCCGCAATCATTATGTATCGAGAGACCGATCGCGACTGGATGGATAATCCTTTCGATCCGAATACAGCCTAATTATTCAGAGAACAAGGACTCAAATTTTCAAGGACTTAAATTTACATCTGAATTTTTTAAAAATAAACGACAGAATTATATAACATCTCATCCTTTTTCACGCGATTGCATATCACGATTCATCCGGTACATGTTCTCTATTATTCGAAAAGTGATGCAACTGCACGCGAATCCCCTTCACAACTTCCTTCCTCAGGGCGGTGCTCTCGGCCCTGCACAATGCGTATGGCGAAATTGCAGCCGGATCGGAAATCGGGGGCTAGGAAACGAGAGAAAGTAGCCAGCGCTGTATGTGACATCATCATAGGGCATCCGGCTTTCTTGGTTGAAATTAACGTGTCGAAGGTGGCATTTTCGAATAAAGATAGAATCGTCGCAATTGCATCTAGATAGCGTGAAATCTCTGCTTGACAATTAATAGCAACGGTATGTAGCGTAATTACTGATGGCACGATAGCGTGGCCATCGTAAAAATTTTCTTCACTTCCTCGATACAGTTGGAAACTAGGATTAAAGTCAGAATAAAAATCGTCCCTCAAAATAAAAATTAAAAATTTAAATTAGAATTGAAATCATTCAATAGAATAATCAGAATAAAAATTAATTGAAATTAGGATTAAAAATGACAAAATATTGAAATTCTATTAACAGAATTCAAATTTGGTTTCAAATTAAATAATGAAAATACATCTAAAGTTTAGTCATTTTCGTCCTTTATAAATTATTTGAAACATTTCAAGCAAGTGGATAAAATTAATCTTTGCATATTTGTCTTTTCTTTACAGTTTGTTACACGTTTTTTTCAGAACATTGCTTACAAGCAATATGTCGTTATCAATATTATAACAACAAATCATAAGCACGTTCAAATTTGATAATTTTTTATTAGAACAATTTTTTGGAAATTTTATAATCATATATGAAATTCTTGTGGCTACATAAATAATATTATTATCAATCATAATCGCATCATGTGTGTATTAGATATCGATCGTGTTGAAATTAAAAATAAAATTAAAACCAGAATGAAAACAAGCTTGAGTGAATTAAAAGTGAAACGTGGAATCCGAAAAAAATCCGTTTGAATTAAAATTAACGAGCTCGACTTAAAATTAAAATAGAGATAATTATGAATTAAAATTAAAAAATTCAAACTAGAAATTTCAAGTAAAAATTTGAGAGAATTAAAAGTTGATTTTTTTTATGAGATCTAAATTAAAATATCGCGGGAATCGCTAGTGAATTCTTTGTTCGTATATCCTCCTTATTTATATGATGATCACGTATCATGTACAATTCATGACAAGCTTACGACGTAGTTCTTGCCTATTTCATTCTTGGAAGCTACTTTTTTCGTTTTTTTTTACGAATGATTAAATAGCTCGATTAATCACTTATTAAAAACTTATGAATGGGGAATTCCGTGAGAATTAAGAGTAGCTCTCTCTCTCTCTCTCTCTCTCTCTCTCTCTCTCTCTCTCTCTCTCTCTCTCTCTCTCTCTTTTTCTCCACAAGCATTTCAAGACGCAAAAATTGTATAAAATAGCTATAAATGTAGTCTAATTAACTCATCAAAAGCCACGAGCATAATAGATAAAGAATAATTGCAGTTAATGAGTTGAAATTCTTTTATTATTTTGTAAGGAATAACGTCCACGTGAAATTAACAATCACATTTGGCGTTAAATATATACATCGGTATTTATTTTAAATTTATTTATTAAAAATATATTTGTTAAATAAAGATATTTATTATAAATATATTTATTTATTATAAATATTTTATATAAATTTATATATTTATTAAACATATACATCAATATTTACGGATAACTGTTAGTGGATTCTGTGATATCACTACCTGTTTATAATAAAAAAATTGTCCGATGTCTCACAATAAATACATACAAAGTATTAATGCGTTGTGAATATCTTTATTACATCAATTTCGATTTGACACCGCTTCAGATAAAACGAGATAGAAATTATTCAATGCTTAGGCATGATTGTTAAGACTCGAGGAAGTTATTTTTTACACATACACACATACACACACACACACACACACACACACACATACACACACACACACTGAATTATCGCTACGAATTTTTTATTTATGGAATCTTCGATTGACTTTACAATCGATTTTGCATAAAATAAAATATATATGATAACTAATAGTGGATTTAAAATTTATTATTATTTATTATTATTTATTTATTATTTATATTAAAGAAATTTACAAACTTTATCTTATATAAATCTAAACTTATATCTATAAACTTATTATTAAATAAAAAATCTATAAGCTTTGATTTTTTTCTAAGGATAAGATTTCCAAAAATTGTTAGACACGAAAGCCGAGTATTCTAATTAAAAAAATATTTCCTTTTTAAATACAATAAAATATATTTTCAATCAATTTAGAAATTAATACGAAGAGGCAAAAACATTCTCAGTCTTTCGATAAGACTTATCGCGGTTGAACTTATATTGGAGCAACAGAGGTCAAGATGTCATTTCTCAAAGAAATACAACAACATTAACGTCTTTCCGACAACGCGAACAATATTCTATCTTTTATCGAAGAATTTTTCGAAAATCATCTTGCCCCTTTGACGGATTGAAACGTAACGAAGTGGAGAAAACGCGAGTGGAACAGACGATACAGTGGCACTCACCGTGAAGAACGACATGGTTGGGCACTTTCTCGAAATTCCAGCGATTGGGAGATCAGCGATGATATTCGTTGATCGATTATTACAGCACGTCCGAGTCTCGATCGAGAAGAAGCAGGACTGAAGGTTGCGAGCGACCATAAAGAGAAGAGAATGTCTGAAGTGGCCCCACTCTTTTCCCACTTTGTCACGTTTTTGAAGAACGTCACGAGGTACACGACAAGCAATGTCCAGGATCGGATCCAATCGAGAAGTGCCTGAAAAAAAGTTGTACTCGAATAAATTTTATGCAAAAGCTAATCTTGTTTCTCTTTTTAAAAAATGTAAAAAAAGGAACAATCTCACAGAAGATTCATCATATTTAATCTACGTCTAAGATATTGCGAAATAATAATAAATATTGTTCTTAATTAGCGAAAAAAATATTAATGATAAAATTATTAAGAAAACGAAATTAAATTGTAATTTCTTTGGAGAAAAACTAATTGACGATTTATTTCAAATTTTCTTATTAAATCCTCAACAGAAATCCCATGGAATCCTTTAGATTTTATAGTAATCTGAAAAAATATTATTACAATAATAATAAAATATTTCAAAAATAAAGTTTTACTCATAAGTTATAGTAAAAGTTATATCTTCTTAGTTGTCTTCAATTTTAATCAATATCTATTTAAAAAATCATTTTCTCTCTTTTAACAAATATATATTTGTAAATTTTATATATAATAAATGTATTTCATTTATCATATTTTTACAATTTAAAATATATAAAATGTAGATATATGTTATATAATTTATACATAATATGTGTATATTGATTAAATTAATTATCTACTAATTAAGTAACATTAGTAAATTAAGAAAAAAATATACCTGTGCTAAGGGTTAAAAATTATTTGGCATTTATATGAGAAATCTCCTTCTGATTTTCATTTACCCAAAGCTCTATCAATTCGACCTTGAATGCGTTTAAGTATATGTACATAAATACTTCTTGTGAGGAACAATCATTCCTCGTCTCTTGGAAATGCCCAGTCATAATCATCAACTTTATTACTAGAAAATCCGTGTTGTCTCTGTCAATGATCTTACATTCATTATTGTTTGCACGTTTTACTTTTGTGTGGAAAATAATTACATTTCGAAAAATTCATCTTCTTGAAAAAATTCAACTTCGTTTGTGCATAAATCTATTTAATAAAAAATTTATGCATAAATCCGTTTAATAAAAAATTAGCCCGAAATTTTTCAAAGATTCCCTTCTCTTATCTAAAACAAATATTAAAAATATAACAAATATAAAACAAATATAAAACAAATATAAAACAAATATAAAACAAATATAACAAATTTATATGTGGCAAATTCATACAAAATCAATCTGGCATAAATTTCATCTCGATCTTATCAAATATATATTTTTCACTCGTGTATTTCTCCATCCATCTACAAGGATGAGTCAAGATTGACAGGTCAAATAGCTTAATGAACAATTAAATGGTACGCTTGAAGCTCCTGATCTCGACGCCGCTATATTTTATATTAGAAGAATTATTTCCAGTTTTTCTTGCGTTTTTCATGGGAATAAAAATTATCGTGATAATTATTCATATAAACATATATTCATATTGACAAAATGTATCATAAATTTTCTGTATGATATTATAATTAATTGTAACGTGACAATTATAATTGATTGTATCTTTATTGTTATTGATTGCGTCTTTATTATTAAGTTAACAAACAAAATTTCCAATAAATCATAAATTCTGTCTTTAATAAAAAAATTCTTTATGTATAAAATAGATTATTTATAACAAAATTAATAGAAATGTCAGAACATCATGTTAATAAAGTAAAATTAGATCTGATAAAATTATTAATTTTTTTCTTATAATAATTTAGGAAGAAAAAAATATATACATTTTAAAATTATATTCTTATATACAATTATTATACATTCTTATTTACGATAAATTTTAAACATAAATTTAATTTACATAAATTTTAGAATAATTATAGCATTTAGAGAAAAAAGAATATTATTATGAATTAAATAATTGTTTAATAATAATAATAAAGATTTTTAAATAAATTAAATAATTTATATAAAAACTGTTAAATAATACACATAATTTCAATAAAAAAAAGTATTCATATTATTAAAAGAATTCAATTCTTCATCTAAATGAAAGGAAAATTATCGAAATATTAATTATCATTAGAAAACTTTATTTGCTTTATTCAAATTCAATATTAAACTGCATTAACTTATAAGAAATGTAATAAAATATTTCTCGACATACATTGAGTATTCTTTTATCTTACCTGCAAATAAATTATCTGAGATGAAATCTCATCCGCAAGTCCACCGATTTATCAAAGAACTTTCTGATGATAAGACTATTGACAGGATAACAAGTTCTTATAATAGAATATATCGATTACACCGATATGAATTCTCATTGATTTTATATGTCATGATTTAGAAAATTACTTAAAGAGAATCGCAATCTTTATCGTTTATAATACTTAATTTGATTAATTAAAACTAAATACATAATGTTCAATAATTCGAGTCATAATTTTTTTCTCTTTACTCGTAAGATTTTTTCTCTTTTATCTATATAATAGTTAAATATAATCTCGCATTTATGCAAGCATACTCGTTAATGCATATCTTTACATGCGTACGCATGCTTATACTTTTTCGGAGCAAATGTGGGAAAATCCCAGTCGAATCATCCATAATGGACCGCAGCCTTTGCGTCGAAGAGAAATAAGCTAAAAAGACATCCATTCATATAAATTGAATAACGACATAATGCATTGCAGAAGAATTTCGGAAAATCCGAGGAATGATCCTTGCTTTGGCAGCTCTGGCAATTTGATTAAATATCAACAAAGGCATGATTTCTTAATAGGAATTCGATACAGGAAAAATTTAACAAAATTAATTACGATAAAGGATTTCCATTAAAACGTCGGATTCAATAATTTAATAAAAAAAATTAAATAATATTGTATTAATTGTAATTTAATATAAATAATCTCCTCAATTTTTCCTCTAAAACTTTAACTTTAACTGAAATCTTTTAAAATTCTTTAAAAAACTTTTTAAAAATCTTTTAAAATCTTTTAAAATTAATTCAATATAATTCTCTAGTATCTAGTATAATTCTCTAATATAATTCAATTAATTTCAGTTAATTTTTCAATATTAAAATCAATGAATTTTTTTGATATGATAAAAATATTAGCTCTAATAATATAATATAATAAAAAATGTCTTTAATTTTGTGTCATCTATTAAAATAATTAAGTTATAAATACTCTTCTTCGTTATAATACATACATTAAATATATTATATAAAATATACACATATCAATACACATTAAATCAATAAATAAAAGAAAAAAAGTTTTGTTTTCTCTTCCTTTATTTAAACTTTAATTACCGCACCTTGATAATCTTTCTTGCTAATTTTATCACTTAATAATTGTTATTACTTTCAGTCAATTTTTAATTTTAATTTATATAATCATTATAAATAATCATTATAAAATTAAATAATCAAGTTGATAATATCTCGAATCAGATTTTATTAATATCGTGAGAGATATAAAGTTCGAATAAATTGAAAATAAATTTTGATTAGAAAACACGCGCCTCTCGAATCTCTTTTCGAATATCTGATCCGAAGATTATAAACTTGATAAACCGAACAGAACTACCCTGCTTTCAAATAGCTTTATTGATCGTTTCGTATTTTTGAAATGAAACGATCACTCTTCCCAGGTAGCAGAGTGACGTTAAATGACATCTTAATAACGTTTTAATGACGTCATTGTACGTGATTAAGACGTCTGGAGACGTCATCTTGCTACCTGGGTTGTATGAAAGCTATTATCTCCAAGGAGATAAACGAAAAAACAGGATGACGAATACTCGCAATTCGAAAATAATTTTATTCGAATGTCAGATTTCTATTCAACATTATAAAACTAATCACTACAAATTATATTCAGGTATCACTACATTCAGGTATGATTTTCTAAAAATCCAGAGATGCTTCAGACGATATTATTTCATCTTTTTGTACAAGAAGCTCACTTGATAAATGCATCAGACTGCATAAATACCAATGGTTTATCCGTTTTTCATCAGGAAATAATAACACTAAATTGATACATTAGCTTATTATTGTTTCTCCGATAAAATTGAAATTAAACGAGAAGAAAACAATTGACTATAACAATCTGACTATAATAAAACATTAAATTCGATGTTTTAAAAATATCTACATAACGATTTAATACTGCATATATATACATGTACACTATGTATACGATATGTGCAACAGTAATACATCTTTCTAAAATTCTCAGAAATAATAATGCGTAGCGAAAAACGTCGCGCACATGATTGTATAGATAATAAAAATATTTTATAAAAAAATCATAACGTGTAAAATCATTCAACAAATAAAGAACTATAGAATTCTCCTATTCTCTTTCTTTCTCTCTTTCTCTCTCCTTTTAAGCTATAAAAAACGTATGTAATTCAAGTTATCAATATGATTGCTAAGATGCATTTGCATCATCAGCTACCATTGTGCTTCGTCTTGGACGATATCACGTCACTCGAGCTACTCGTGTTTCGCGTCGTGGGCAGAGAGTTATCATCATCGTTAATCCACAGACGGAAAACTTTGCCACTTCGATAATGTTGCACGAGATTGAGGACACCCATCAAAAAGTATATCACAGCCAAGACCACAAAGTAATTACCGTAGACGAAAAACTGAAAAAAAACGCAAATAATCTCACAAATAAAGCGTCATTTTACCGCATGAATGTCTCACCTGCTGCCGAATACTCAGCGTCAGCTTGTTGACGACCACGAACGTGAGCAGACTCTGCACTAATAGCGCGAAAAACATGTTAATTCCGAATATCAGGCCGTAACTATCCTCGGATATATACTTGGCAACTTCGAAGCTAAAAATATATGAAACGAATATTTATGAATATTTATGAATTCTTCTTTGTATCCTTGTTGAAATGGAAATTTATCTTATCTGATGCTTTTACCTTGCAACAGTAACCATAGTGTGATAAATTACGCCGAATATGATATAGCCAACGTACAGGAACCAGATATTGTAATTGTAAGAGGCCACCACCAATATGGTGCCTTCTAGGAACGAAAATATGGATAATGTGACGTCTCCTATTAAGCTCCAGTTTAACTTCATCTTTCCCACACAAAATACGATCCCTGCACCTGATGAAAATAAAAAATATATATATATAAAAATAAAAAAAATATATAATGAAAATTTAAAAAAATATATAAAATAAAAAATTTTGAAAAAGTTGTGTGTATCTATTTAATCGCATTTCCTATAATCTTATCACTCGGTCAACTTTGATAAAATATTATTTAAAAAAGTAAAAAAGTAAAGTGAAAAGGTAAAAGATCATTTCACATTTAATGTCGATGATCTGCGTTTTATTGATAAATGTAATATTTTTCTTATTAAATTTAATTTCTGAAAACAAAGCAATTTAAAATTAATAAATGAAACATTTTTCTAATAGAGTATTTTATGTAATTTGTTAATTGCATCAACAAATTTACTTCTTTTTGTATATTCTTATCTAGATTTATATATTTACGGTTCTTATAATTTGTAACATTGGAACAATTGAGAATAATTGTCTATCAAAAGCTGCTTATCAGTTTCAAACTATCGGCGTAATCTTCATTAAGTTTATCTCATGCAGATATCTATAATATGATAGGAAAGCAAAGTTAATGACATGAGATAACTTAAAATCAACATCAACGACGATATAATGATATTCAAATGCAAGTCATGCATTATATTGGATCGCTTATTTTAAAATTGCTGTGCAATTTATCTCAAGCTCGACGAACAATTATTCAGAATTTTTCATCCTAATTTTTCGGTTCGATTTTAAATTAAAAATTTTAAATTTAAATTTCAAATTAAAAAGACATTTCAGAGATAAATAATCTCTCCTTTTCTCACCTATGAGCGCATAAAGAAAATCCACCGCGCCGTTGTAAATCATATCACCCTTCGTCACTGCATCCTGCCACAACAGTTGTATATAACTGATGATCTGCAGGTATCCGCAAGTAGCCAGAGCCCACCAGATCGACCATTTGACCACGCGATAATCGGTATAAGCCTGCAAGAAATGTTTCCACAGCAGTGCATACGCATTCTTGATCTTGCGAAGTAATGGCATTTTTGATGTATATATATCAATACAGCGATATTTGGGTGGCTCATTCGATTGATAATCGAACGATTCTTTGCTCTGCTCGTCGTCGGAGATGCTGGCACGATGGAAATACATCGACTGCTTCACAGAAGGTAGGAAGAACGCCCAGATCGTCGCAAAGATGTTGGCTGAAGAAGTACACAATTATAAATAATAATGAATTTTATAAATTAATTTTATAAATTTTATAAATTAATTTCATAAATTTTAAAACTTCACAAATTAATATATATAATTATTGCTCTACAAAGAATTTTATGGAAATTATGATTGAGTATGTCACAGTTTGGAGACTCCGAAAACTAAATTTACATTGAACTTTTCTAATTCTGTCTATTATATATACCTGAAATAGTAAGATAATTGAGCTGGTGATAGTTCAATAGACTGAAAGAGGTTGTTAACTGCGCTACAATGGCTGACATGCTGCGACCAAATAATATAGCTGCTTTAGTGTGGCTTGTCACTTCCTGATAGTGGCTTTTATCAACTTTAGCATATATGTAAGTGTAATATGCCACCTCTGTGGATAAATATAGGCCGTAAAAGAACTCGAGGATCTGAAATGTCAGTATCGTTTCCCCAAATACTATCATGAAAAATGTGATAATGCCGGAGAGGCCGCAGAGTATGATGACAGGCTTGTATCTGACAAAATCCGTGACCAAGAACACAATTATTAATGTTGCTAAGTAGCTGTAGGTAGAAACAGGAAAAATGTCTCGGTTCACCTGAAAGATGTATCAATGACATTATTTTAACTGTTAAGCAAACATTCAATCGTACACTGAATATTCTAAAAACTCACTTCCTCGGGGTTGAAATGTTTCCAGTCAGTCAGATAATCAGTCACAAAAGGTTCAGAAGGTCGGAAGTCCTTGAAGCATCCAAACATACAGAGAATACATGATATTTTGACCCAATGCATGTTGTGTCAATAATTGTTTTTTACTTGATGAGAGGGAATCGTAGTCTTTACATCAAATTTAAGGAAGCTCTCTCAGCCTTGCATCCCTGCAAAAGAAGTAAATTTCAGATACTTAGTCAGTATTAAAAAAAAAAATGATTTGAAAATAAATGATTTCTTTTAATTATATTTCTTTAAAGAACTGTTAAAACAGAAATAAAATATGCTTTATTGTTTAATAAAGTGTCAGATTTATTTTACTCCTGCTTCCTGTCAAATTGTTCTCCATACCTAGTATTTAGTTATCGATGACGAAACACAATCTCTCGTAATCAAATGTTCTGCATATTTTCCGGTATCGCACAACGTTTAACCTCTCCTAATCAACGTTCGTCGCACACTCGTGCGCTCTACTGTCCTTTCCTCCTCGCGCCAGCGACTGATGAAGCGATGAAAAATTCATGCGCATGCGCAGACGACCACGTGATTATCTTCTGACGCGTGCTTCGATGCAGCGCCTTTAAAAAGTCTACTAAAAAAAATCATGTCACCAAATCATGCAGAAATTACATAACGAAATCACATAACGGATTGTTTAATATTATGTAATTTTTCAAATTATGTGAGAGTTCAGATTGAACAATATTTTTTATGTTTTAAAAGATTTTAAAAAACAATGTTATTTTTCAAATTTACATAATTTTCTAATATTATGTCTAATATTATTTAAAAAAAAAAATCACATAATTTGAAAAGCAATATAATATTAGAAAATTATGTAAGTTTGAAAATAATATTTTCACGATAAAGACAGAAAAAATAAACAAATTATTATATTTTTTAATAAAAAATATACTTATATACTCTTTAATGAATTGTATTTTATTTCATGAAACTATTCTTAAAAGAAGATAATTTTTCAAATTGAGCAATATTTTTTATATTTATAAAGATTTTAAAAAACAATGTTATTTAAAAAAAATTTTTTTTTAAATCACATAATTTGAAAAGTCACATAATATTAGAAAATTATGTAAGTTTGAAAAATAACATTGTTTTTTAAAATCTTTTTAAACATAAAAAATATTGTTCAATCTGAAAAATTGTCTTCTCTTTAAGAATAGTTTCATGAAATAAAATGCAATTCATTAAAGAGTATATATAAGTATATTTTTTATTAAAGAATATAATAATTTGTTTATTTTTTCTGTCTCTATCGCGAAAATAATATATCTCACACATACGTCCCAGCAAACACCAAATAACAGTTATATAACTGTTAGTTATAACCTTGTATGTACAAAATAATGAGAATCAATTGGTGTAAAGAAAACATATAGCTGTTTAAAAAAAAATATGTAATTGTTAATTGCAAATTACATATTTTTTCTTCGAAACAACTATGTGTTTTCTTTGAACCACCAATTGATTCCTCTCATTATTTTGTACATAAAAGAATCCAGATAAGATAATCGAAAAATGAATATTTTACAAGATATTTTACGGTTTATGTAAAATTAAGAAATTATTTCAAGCCTTTTAACTCGGAAAATACTTAATGAAAACTAACTTAATTATAATGTTTTGGAAAGCTCTCGAGATGAGCTACACGAATATGTAATAAAAAATAGGGGGTTCCATTTAAAAAAATTAAGTTGACCTTTAAATGACTACTAAATTCGACCGCTAGGTCAAAGTTAAAGTCACCATCAGATGTCCCATCAGAAATCCTACAGCTTTTGTTTGAAACATTTTTTAGTATCTTTTAGACTTTTTCGTTTAGACGAGATATTTCGATGGCAAAGTTAAAATGGAACACCCTGTATAAATGTTACTTAGTGTTTGCTGGAATGTTTTTAATATATATGATTAAATAAAAAATCGCGCAGCTAATAAAATTAATTACATCTATGTGTGGGATGTATTTCTGATCTAAAAATTGCAGATATAAATCAACTGTTTTATCATGGCATCGAAACCAATAAATAATCATGTAGTTCCAGGCAATGTAAAATGTATATATGCACCGCTAGTGTACATATAGAAAAAACCATGAAAAACAGCGACATGGTCCATCTCAGATTTTTCTTTCGTCGTATAAACTGAATGAAAATTATCTTGTCGAGTCTTTATTACCAATAGAAAAAAAGAAGAAGAAGAAAAAGAAGAAAAAAAAGAAATAGACTGATATTTATAGTTCTTATATTTAGAATTTGGAACCTTAGCAGAATGGCATTATAACTTTAAAATAATATTTCATTAGTCTTTTTTGCATGTTTAACATAAACGTAATATTCATAAAATATTTATCTATTATTAGTAAACGTAAAACAAACAGTAAAATTGTTACTTTCATGTGTTTACATGCATATAATAAATTTATTTCTTGCAAATTTATACACATTTAATACTTACACATACAGTATAGTTCGTTACCCAAAACAAAGACTTAGAGCATAAAATATTGTCTTAAAGTTATAAGTCAACCATTGTGCTATAATTAAATTTTATTTCGTTGAATATCAGTCTTTTAATGCTGATGAATTTGCATTGCGATAAATGAGAATCACGTTTGTATCAGTACACGTTGGTTTTGAAAAATCAAATCGTTTTCAAAATTGTTTTTATAATCTTGAATATTTTTATATTATATTATATATATCATAATAAAAATTATTTGAATATTTTATTATGTTAAATATACATTCTAATATATTATAAAATGTTTATATAATTTAATATATATTGTAATATATATTGTAATATATTATATAATATATCAAATTAATATTATACATTTTATATTAAATCAATATTAATATTGATTAATATTGATAATAATGATATTAATATTAATATTGATAATATTGATATTAATATTAATAACATCTTTTTTTGGATGTTTTGCTTTACATATTTTCTATCTTTCATTTTCTCGCAAAATTACATGGTTATGCAATCGCAAAATAATAAAATAGCCGCACAAAAAAATAAAATAATAAAATAACAACGCAAAAATAAAATAATAGTCCGGAAGTAAACGATATTAAAATAATCCTCATAATGTAGAAGCAACAAGTTTGCGCAATAACTGGTGACAAGAATAATTTTTCGTGATTTCAAAATTTGTAGCAAAACATGGACGTTACATATAAGTTTAGTACAAATAATACAAGTAATGCAAGTCAATATTGAGAATAAAATGGTCTTTTTTCATTTCTTAATAATATATCCCAATAATTAATCAAAATCAAAATCTTTAATTTCAATAAAATATGCTATATGAATGCCAACGTGTATTTTTAATCAAACTCGTGGTACGAATCAACGATAAATGCGCACGGATATTTTTCAGTAGTGCAACTCGACGGTCGATCAAACATATTTTCTCTCTCTCTCTCTCTCTCTCTCTCTCTCTCTCTCTCTCTTTCTCTTTTTGATATGTCTCAACCATCAAGCAGATCGCCTTTTTTCTCATTATATTTATTATTAACAGAATAATATGTAAATCCAAGATGGTTGAAACTTTTAATTATACGCATCTTTCAACCCGCAATAATGATAGCATTGCTATTCTGAGGTGCCGGTTACGCCCCTCCGCTGGATCGTTGGATCTAACGAGAGGGGGATGAGTCGACGACGATGGGGGACGCGAGTTGAACTTCGCGGACACCTCGTAGATTCCGCTCGTCAGGAGAAGCGCGCGCGCGCGATTTTCGAGTTCCCGCGACTCCTCGGACTCGATGCCAGGACGCAGCAAGAAGGAGCTATTGTTCCCATTGCCGAGGATCCACGATTAAGGTAAGCCGCTCGTAATCGAGCTCTCAAATTCAAGCAATAAAATGACTCTTCTATTTCATTGAAATGGCTGCAACGAGATATATAATCGTCTGAAAGTTTCATTTTTCCTACACGATAATAGCTTCTTGTTCGCGATTATTAAAAAATTCGTAAATCATATAATTCTTTTACAAATTATATTTATGAGATGATTAGAATCGTGGCTTTTTGGTGTCGCAAAATTTCGATAAACGAATATCGAATATGTGTGCCTCTTGTAACTTACTCTTCGTGATTAAATATCTCGTTTTTTCATCCGAATAAGATGCGCGTCGTGTCGTGACGAAAATAACGAGGTGGAAACAAAGAAACAGCGAGGAAAATCTTGGCGAAAAATATTGACGAGATACGAGTTATCTGGCGAAAAGGAAAGCATCCCAGAAATGATGATGGACATTATTGACGATTAAAGGCTACCGTGTAATTAATCCCTAATGACCTGGAAAATAAATCTATAAAGCTTCTTCAAACAACACCTTCTCTCGACGAAAGATTACATAATCTTTTTCTGCAAGATTTTATTTTCCATATTAATTATTTTATGTCCACTTATTGATTTTCTTTTATACGTTATATATATTATATATTATTATTATTTTGTTATTTATATATTATATTTTATACAGATATTAATATAATATATCGTATAATATGATGCTAAGTATTATATTTATAATTTTGAAATTTTAATTTAAATTAAAATATAGATAAATAAATAAAAAGTTTCAATAAATAAAGTCTAAAACTGTCGAGAAACATTTCTTTTGTTTTGTCCTCCTTGCAATGTCGCTTCCTTTCGCTAGATCTCGCGTGTTTTATTCGAATATCGAAAAAGTCGGCAACATTGGAACGATTAAAGGAACACTTAAAAGTGTTAGAGGGAAAAAGGGAACACGTAGGCGTCCCCGTGGAGGCGTTTTCGTCACGACCCGATACGCCGAAGAGAAAGGAAAAAGACATGACACTTCGACCAGACGCCTCTCGCATCTCGCCGATCTCGTAAAAAGCGCGCGGATCCAAGCCAAGGATCCTGTCAAGTATCGAACGTATCGCGATCGTGGATCAATCGCTGATTCGTGATTCTCTCTGAGTGATTCTCCCGGTCTCATCGGCCGTTTTCTCTCCGTTTTCTCTCGAGAAACGACGTTTCTCGCCTCGAAAAACGTCGCCGTGGTGCGAGCAATCGTCGCTTCCTCGCAGTCAGTTTTCATTCAAGGTGTCTGTGAACAATGCCGGATGACACTAAGGCACTTGTTGCCTTACTGACGATCACAACGTAAGCGGTCAGTCGTGATCCGCGGATCATCGGGGAGATAATGATTACAGAACAGACCTGGAGCATGATGCTGGACAGCGATGTCACGAGCATCAACGAGTGAGTGATTGCCAATCATGTACGTCAACTGTGAAATTTGTTCGATCTGAAAAAGAATAAAGATATTTTTAATTTTAATAAAAAAACATCTCGTCCTCTTAAAGATTCAGCCATACAAAAATTACTTTTATCATTATTTTTAATAATATATTTTTTATTGTATATATATAAAATTATTTTAATCATTATTTTTTATAATATTATTAATAATAATATTTTTATTAATCATTAACCATTAATAATATATTTTTGTTGCGTATATATTTTAATCATTATTACTAATCATTATTTCTATTAATATTATTAATATTTTCATTAATATTCATATTAAGAATTCTTTTTATATTTTAAAAGAATTTTTTAAAAATATTCTAATAAAAAATGCAACAATAATATTATTAAAAATAATTATCAAATTAATTCTATAATACAAAAAATATTGTATTAATAATATTATTATTGTATTAATAATATTATTCATTAATATTATTAATACAATATTTTTTGTATTATATAGAATTAATTTGATCATTATTTTTAATAATATTATTGTTGCATTTTTGATCAGAATATTTTAAAAAAATTCTTTTAAAATATAAAAAGAATTCTTATTAATATTAATATTAATATTAGATAAAGAATTCTTATTAATATTAATATTAATATTAATATTAATATTAATATTAATATTAATATTAATATTAATAAAAATATTAATAATATTATAGAAATAATGATTAAAAATTATTTTAAGATATAAAAAGAATTCTTTTGCAAGGGATAATTCATTTTTATTATTTATTATCAAGATCTCCTTAGATCAAGATTATCAAAATCTTTTAAAGATTCCACGAATTTTTTACAAGTATAAATTTCATTGTTCAATCTATTTAAATTAAATGGCCATATAAAACACTCTCAAGTGAAATCAGTAAAATACTTATTGATCTTCGATAAATATTGCTTTAATCAATGACTTTTTCACTGACATTTTGTTTAACAACGAGAGAGAAAAAATGCACGGAATATTTGACAAGATGAATAATTTTCGACAAATTTCACGCTGCCCAATCATTATTGTTGCCCAATTCAATTGTCATTTGTTAATTAACCAGGTCGAGCATTTCGCCGAGGAAACAATTATGGATCAAGGCGGTGAAGAAACTTACCTCCGAGAGACTGGGCCGGGAAGGACTAGCGGCGTGGGAAGATCGGAAGTCGAACGCGGATCCTGAGATCGTCGCCGAGGTCAAGGAGGACGATCAAGCGGCCGACGAAAATATTGAGGATGCGGAAGCGGAATCGGAAGGAGCTGCCGGCGAGGGAGAGGATGTTCCCGATGAGGAAGCTCAGACCCAACGCGGTACGAAAGCTTCTCCGGGAAATTCTCGCCAATCTCAAAGTCATTGTCATCTATCTCGATTTTAGAAGCTACTGTTGCGTTTCAGATGTCTTCAAGAAGGGAACGTTGTACAAGGGAATATTCTTACCCTCGCTGACCAACAGCTTTCACAACAAGCAACTGGAGACATCCTATCTTCTCTATTCAAACCGACAGAGGCAGAAATCTCTGATTACGCTGAACATCGTGGACCTCGGCCTGAAAGTGAGTAAAAGCAATTAAAAAAAATAAATAAATAAATATCCCAGCAAACACCAAATAACAGTTATATAAATATTACTTGGGTAACATTTTGCTGGGTATAAAAAAATTATTAATTAATTAATTAATTAATAATTAATAAATAAATTATGTAATTAAATAAAATCGTATATTGATTCTATCAGATAAATTCTTTTCTTTTTATTTTGATTCTTTAGATCACGTTAACAGCGATTTGGCTCTGGCAACGGGACCCAAGTAACGGAGGCCTCATCGAGGGCTTGTCATGGGCCGCGTGTTGCATGGCTGCGAATCTGGTGGTGTGTGTGCTCGGCTGGTGGCGTTGCTTTTCCAGCAATCATCTGTACTGGGCCTCGATATTCACTTGGTTATTAATAAACTCCCAAGGTGAGGCCCACGCGACTCGTGCGTTTCATTCCGACCTATCGATCCCCGTAATTATATACTTGACGGAATTATAATTACTCGATTTGGAAATATCGGAAGCGGCCCTTCCCCTCTTCGCATCACTTTTCTATCCTTCGATAAAATTATCGATTTAAAAATTTTCCCTGGAAAGGGATTGAAACTTCTTTCTTTTTTCTATATATAATAAAAGATAATAAACTAAAGCTTCATTTTCCCTCCCTTGTTTTCACACTATTCCAATAGTTTTTCACTCGGGATTGTCAATATTTCGATTCTATTGAATCCATAGTCATTGAATCGAATGGCGGTCTTGCTCTACTGATCAGCTAAAATCAGACTGACGGTTGCTCGCCGAAGCGTGGACCAAAGCCAGAGACCGAAACCGGTTCAGATTCTGTGGACGCGAAAATAATCTCCGAAATATTGCGCATCCCTCATCCTCGATCGGACATGCCATGAAATAAAAAAATGAAAATTCAACATCCTGAATGGTATCATATCTCTAGGGTGTCTATTTATGAAAATACTTAAAATTTTCATTTTTTTATATCTGGAAAAATTAGAGAATTTAATTTTAAAATTTAGGAAATTTTTAAAAAAATTTTCTTTTTGATCATTTTGCTCTTACATTTAATCAACTGACAAACTAAGTAAATTATGTGTATTTAAAATATGTATATATAAATATATGTTTATTTTTATGTATATATCTAATGTCTTAACACGAAATATTAAATATGTACGTATTTTTTTATTGTAATTTTTAGCGATAAAATTATTAAAATATTATGTATGTGAAAATGTTTATTTTACGAAAGTTATTCATTTCTTTCAGTATATTTATATAATCTAACATTTAAATTTGAGAAGCTCTATGTTTTTCTTTCGTATGCATGAAAAACATTAGAAAATACATATAATAAAAAAACTCATTTTAAAAAGTTGCACTAAAAGAATCTTCAAAATATATTTAATCTGAAACCAAATTATTAAATTATTAATTTCCTTACGATTAATTGATTAATAAAAAAGTTCTAAAACTGAAACTTCTTTTTACCTGGAATTTTGAACAGAGAAATTTCTGAAAAATCAGGAAATTTTTCTGAAAAGAAACAAGATTTAAAGAGACATCCTGATCTCGCTCTTCTTTCTTTTTTTTCTCTCACAGGTTTCATAGGTGCCGGTCTGAATTTCACCACGCAGCAGCGGCTCATGTGGTACATTCTCTTCGTCGTATATGCACCATACGCGATGCTACCCCTGCCGTTACGATGGTGCGTCCTTGCCGGCTATGGAACGGCGCTAACACACATGGTGGTGGCTGGCATAAGTCTTCTGCGGAACTCCACATATGTGAGAAAACTTGGAGATCTCTTAAAATTCCTTTAAATTCCTTAAAATTCCAATCCATCTTCGAAAATATTTAAATTGAAAACCGAAATTTTTTAATCAAAAGACGAAAATTTTATTACGAGATTTATTATGAAATAATCTTTTATATAATAAATAATAATAATGTATAATAATATATAAAAAAATAATCTTTCTTCTCGATTTTTGTCACATATATTTTTCACATATATTTAATCTTTAAACATTAAATTTTCTTAATATTAATTTTCTTATAATTAATCCATTAAAAAAATTCTAAAATTAAAGCAACATTAGAGTGTAATACTGCAAATATAGTATTGTAATAAAATTGTAAATACAATATTACATAATATAAATATGATATATAATCAATTTTAATTTTTCCGTATATTTAATTGCAATTATTATTCATCAATAAAGTACTCGAAATTAAATTGAATGATCTTGAAATATTTCTCGCAGCTGCATGACGTCACGTGCATCGTTCGCATGCTGACGACGAACGTGTTGCTCTACCTGGCTGTGAACCTGGTTGGCATGTACACCAAATACCTGACAGACCGGGGACAACGACAAGCTTTCCTCGAGACCCATCGTTCCACAGAGACGCGGCAGCGCACGCAGAATGAGAACAATCGGCAGGAGAAGCTGTTGCTCTCGGGTAAAGAAGCAAAAAATTCGAGAGATTCTGCACCTTATTTTTATTTTTTTTATTTTATTAAATTATATTTATATACTTATTTTATTAAATTTCATTAAATTAAATTATATTTTATATTCCTCACATGTTCTAAAATTTCTTTTAGGATCATAATAAATATTTCTCAACTATTCAGACTGATAATCTTGTTCTCTTCCACGAGAACGCATTCTCTTCAACATATCTTCTTCAACAAATCAATAAGAAAACTATGTATCTAATGGATCTAATAATTAATCTAAAAGACACTTCGACAAGAAACGTGCGATTAAGAGGTAGATACTTAAATAAAATTCTCGGTGGAGGCAAGGGTGGCTTTTGACAAGTGGACACTCATAGAGCTAGAAACTATAGAAACAATCCAAGTATTCGCAACTCGAGGGCTCCTCTCTCGAGATGCCATCCGAGGGGGAGAGATCGTAACTAGGCTGGTGTATTTACGTGCATATTTATTGTAACACGCGGGGGGTCGCGGGGGGTCGCGGGGGATTGCGGGCGCCGCTCGTCCATGCATAATTTGCTCGGCCGAGTGTCAAAAAGGGTCACTAGACACTCTCTCGGCCGATTGCGCCGATTGGACGCACGTTTTTCCGATAGCCTTTTGCGTTACGTCGGCGTTTATCCTCCGCTGAGATCCCACCCGATATATCGATCCGCTGCTCCTCGTAGCCTAGACGAAAATACACACCGTCGTCGTCGAGTACACATTACGCCGGGATTACATAAATATCAACTCTGACCCACTATTGCTCGTAATTCTCGTCGTACAATTTGTTTGTGTTCTCTCTGCTGAATTGATATAATATGACGGACCCCCTTAGTTACACAAAGTTATAAGTTGGAAATTGAATTTTCCTTTTCGGGAAAAGGGGCACTAAACTCGAGACGTGAAAAACACTTAATGTCTGTCTCGCAATTTAAAGCGGGTTTCTTCGCCCATTTTTCTTTTCTATGACAGGCGAAAATTACGTAGATGAAGAGAGAATTTAACGAAGAGAGAATTGATTTGCAATAATAATAATATTCTTCCTCGTCACTTTCGTTGAGAAATCTCTTGCATGTTTACATTAAAGAATAAGGAATATATTTTTTTATTTTTATACAAAGCGATTTTTATAAATTAAACAAAATAATAACATAAATAATAAATTATATAAATATCTTATAAAACAGTATCAACTAAAGTTATATTTAAGATGTCAAAGTTGATTCTTTTTAAATAAAGTGTTTTTTAAATTAAGTCTCTTATAATAAGCTACAAATGATAAACAATTTTCTTTTACATTATTTTTAAAATTTAAAATTTAGAAATAATTTATATGCTTGTTTTTTATATCCACAGATAAAGTTCTTTTATATCTTAATATCGTATAAATGTACGCATATCTAATGTAATAAATAGCTGAATAGCTTTTGTTTCTCATTTTAAAATAAGACTTTATCCATTTTTTTTGGTAGTCAAAAATTAGATGAATAAACATTTAACGAAAAGGCAGAACTGTGCGATTTATAATAATAATAATATTCTTCTTCGACATTTTCAAAAAAAGAAAGAAGTTTCTCTTACACATCTGCATAAAAAAATATTTTTTTAACATATTTTTTATAATTTTATAAAGTGATTATTACTATGCAAATTAAATAAAACAATAATATGTGAATAAATATATCTGTTATAATAAGATATTCATTGAAGTTGCATATTCAAGATGTCAAGTTGATTCTTTTTAAATAAAACTTATTTTTTGAATTAAGAATATTTCTTAATAAACTGTAAGTTTTAGACAATTTTCTTTTGCTTCAATTATTTCCAAATTTAGAAAATATTTATGTTTTTATATCCAATAATTAGAGACTCGGCTTAAATAATTAAAAAATCAAAAAGAAAATCGCCAATTTCCTTTTTGTGAGTTTTTATATCCATAGATATAAAATACAGTTTTTTGTATCTTAATTAAAATAAGAAAATCTAAACAATTAATTTTATAATTCTTACTTGATTGCAGTATTGCCTGATTTCGTCGCCAAAGAGATGATCCGCGACATCGCTCGCGAAACGGCTCGTGGGGGGACGATATCCTTCACGCCGAATCAATTCCATCGAATATACATCCATCGCTATGAGAACGTCAGTATCCTGTTTGCCGACATCAAGGGATTCACGGGTACGGTTGGGAAAAATTTCTCTCGTAGAGAGATATTATTTTTTTTTTATATTTTCAATTTCACTGAAAATAAAACAAAAAATAAAACAAAAAATATGGTCGGAGAGAATGTAACGAACAGAGAATTGTGGCGATTTCATAATAATAATAACAATATTCCTCCTTGACATTTTCACTGAAAAATCTCTTATGCGTCTACATCCAAGAATACGGAACATGCATTTTTTAAATATTTTTATAAAGTAATTAATAAAGTAATTAAATTATACAAGTTAAATAATAAATTATAAATATCCCTATTAATAAATAATAATAATAAAAATAATAAAAGAAATAAAAATAATAAATAAAATAAATAAAAAATAAATAAAATAAATAAATAAAAATAATAAAATAATAAATAATAAAAATAATAAATTAAAATAATAGATATAATAAATAAAACCAATAAATATAATAATAATAAATGTCATTCCATTTTAATTTTATCCAAGCTCTCGCGAGTCAGTGCAGCGCCCAGGAGCTAGTCAAGGTGTTAAATGATCTCTTCGCTCGCTTCGACAAGCTCTCAGCGGAGAACCATTGTCTGCGGATAAAACTCCTCGGCGATTGTTACTACTGCATCTCCGGCCTGCCGATCGCCAGGAGCGATCACGCCCATTGTTGCGTAGAGATGGGCCTGCACATGATTAAGGCGATACGGGACGTGAGATTCACCCTGAAGGTACTGGCGCTTCACACTTGAAAAAATTTTGCCGATGTAGATTTCAAATTGTTGTCACAACAAAAGTTTTTTGTATTTGCTAGAATTATTTGTAATATGTGAAATTTGTAGAAGCAAATTCTAATTATATCTTCTGACAAATTTATCCCATTGTCAAATATTAATTATTGGATAAATATCACTTTCTACAGCTAGAATGATTTTTGTGAGAAACAATTTTTCACAATCAACCTTTATAACAAATCTTAATAAAGACTCCGTAGAAAAATGTCCTTTCGAAATTTCACTAACAGTTCAGATACAAATTTAATCTCTATCATTTAGATTAATTAAGTATGCAAAACATGCGATATCATATTTGTTGATTATTTATTTACTTCAGTTAATTTTTTAATTTAAATTTTTTTTAATTTATTGCTGCAGTTGCAAGATTTTTAGGTATCTTGCAATGCAAATAAAACGAGAGAATTCAAATTTGAGAGTCAGTATTTCCAAATAAACTGAATGTACCCTATAAAAAAATTACCTTAAAAATGAAAGAATTATATTATATTTTTAAAATGTTGTCTCGAATTTTTTTTCATCTTTCCAATGCACATTTCTTTTCAGGTGGACCTGAATATGAGGATAGGAATCCACAGCGGATCGGTGCTGTGCGGAGTCTTGGGCCTGCGAAAATGGCAGTTCGACGTGTGGTCGTATGATGTCACGCTTGCGAACCATCTTGAGAGCGGAGGGATACCAGGGTATATGAAAAACAAAAATTTCATTATATTAATTAAAAGCGTCAATAATAATATTATAAAGTTAATTATATGGGGTTGGGGATATTAAGCAAGCAACTCGAATAAGCCTTACTTTTCCTTGAGTATAATTTCATCATACGAGCAATCAACGATGTACTTTTATAGATTCTTAATTTTCAGTATTTCATTTTCAATTTTATCAAAATTTTCCAAAAAAAATTTTTAAGCCCACGAATTTTCGAAAGCTTTCGAGATTCATAAATTCTAATAACGAAATTTCTCGTTATAGGAGGGTACACATTTCTGCCGACACGCTCAAGTGCCTAAACGACGTTTACGAGGTGGAACCCGGGTACGGTAGCGAGCGGGACAATTATCTCAAGGATAGGAACGTCGTGACGTACCTCATCAAACAGGTGGAACCCCTCAAGTCTAGACGACGACACTCGTCCAAGCCGAAGGTCTGGTCGGAGGAAGAGATCGCCGCGAGCAAGAACAAGAAGAGCTTCAAGATAAACAATCCACATGCCGCGAATAGCAACGCGGCTCCGAATTCCGCTGTGGACGACGATATCGGGGTCGATTGGACGCCTGAAATCCCATTCGAGAATGTGAGCGTTGATTTCAATTTTAAATTAAATTTTTGATACAATATATGATGTCGTATAAAGAAATTCAATTGTAATTTTACAAATCTACACAAGAAAAATTTTAGTTTTTTTTTTCATTATTGTTAATTAATATATCGTTAATTAATTGATTTTATTAAATTATCTTATCATCTTTTATTAATTTTACATATATATATTAGTTAAATATATGTATATTAATATAAATTTTTGAATAATGAAATAATCAGACAAATTTATGCCTTCAACATTTTTTAATTTGGCTGAATTAATCGAATCAAATCAAATGCAATCAAATGTTAATTAATTTATGTACATACATACACACAATGTTGTGCACTACTTTACTAATGAAATTAGTAAAAATTAGATCTTTATTAAAAATTTATAAATTAAGAAAAAAATTTATAAATTAAAAATTAAATTAATAAATTAAATTAATGAAATTAATAAATTGAAAATTGAAAATTAAATTAATAAGTTTAAAATGAAAAATTAAATTAATAAATTTAAAATTAAAAATTAAATTAAATTTATAAATTAGGTATTATTAATACTTTTTTTATTTATTTTGCGATCGCAGTTGAATACAGCTACGTCGATGAGTAATTTGGAGTCCGAATACCTTGAGGAGGAAAACGGTCAACCGGCCAAACCGAGTCACAAGGCGACTTCGACGACATTCGAGAAGAAGAACGCTATCGAGACCGCCAGTAACAAACGCATGAGATTGGCCAACATAAATACATGGACTTTGCGTTATAATGACGAAAGCTTGGAATCCAAGGTGAACAATCAATTGCATTAATTTTATCTACTAAAGTGTCCTTGAATTAATAAAAAGAAAATTATACAAGTTGTGTTCCAAACAAAGCATATATTATTTTAATGGATTCTTGAACCGATTTAAAATTGATACTTTTTTAATAAAGCATCAATAATTTTCATATTGAGAAAAAGGAAAAAAGTGTATGAGATATTCCATATATTAATTAATTATTTTATATTACATATATTAATTAATTAATTATGTCGTAGTTTGACCAATTGCGAGAGGATATGTTCAAGTCCAACATGATTTGCTGCTTCGTTATATGGCTCTTTATCGCCATTTGCCAAGCTATAATCTTGTCAGAGTGAGTAAATGAAGTTGAATTTAAGAGAATTTTTTACTTTAACAATATGAAAAATTGATTTTCAGATTTTTCTTGAAGAGTATTTAAAAAATTTGGAAAATGTAAAAAAAGAATTAATTTTTTTACTCTCAGAAATAGAGATTAAATCCTTAAATAAAGTACGACAGCTTTGTGTATTATATAAATTTAAATTCCTGTCGATACAAAAAAAAAAATAAATTAAAATATATTTCATAAACTAAGAAATAATTTATGCATCATAACAGTATTACATCCCAACAAACATCAAGTAACATTTATATAATTGTTAGTTATAATTTCCCACTCAACAATATAATTGTTATTTAACACATAACAGTTATATAACAGTTATATTGTTGAGTAGGAAATAATAACTAAGTTATATAACTGTTACTTAGTGTTTGCTGGGATAATATTAATGTGATTCTTCATCTCGAATCATTATCGCAGCTGCATGATTCTTCTGATCTCTCTGCTGGTGACCACCGTGATCCTGGTGGCGTCGTCGATCCTGGTGATGGCGGAGGAGTTCAAGGGCATGCCGACGTACCTGCAGCACACCTCGTCCATGCTGGTGCACAACAAGAAGCACCGCACCATCTTCATCTGCGGCGTCATCAGTCTGATGGCGTTGACGTCCGTCATCGGCGTCCTGACGTGCCCCATCGCGATACGCCCTTATCCGGAAATAATGGTGCTCGAGCGCCAGCAGCAAACACCTCTGACGACGACCTCGGCTGCCTTAATTCCGTCGCCGGAGAAGTTGATCGCGACGACTACCTCGAGATCGGGCCGGGATCACTTCATCCTGACGTTTTTGGAGGCCGCCCTGAGCGACGAGCCCGAGGAACGAAAGCCCGTCCCCTCTGCGGAGAACAATACCGTGGAGGGGGGTTCCAGCAATATCGAGTTGAAACTAACGCGAGTGGTGAACGGCAGGGAAACCGGAAGAAGCAGGCGAGAGTTCTTCCGGTTCTACAGGTCGGTTTTATGGCGACTGAGCCGATTTATTCATCTATTTATCTATTTATCTGTCGTTGAAGGATATTCGGCCCCAAGATACTATGACTTCTCTTGTAACGTTATGCGATATTTCTCAGCAAACATCAAATAACAGTTATATAACTGTTATAATTTTTCACTCAACAATATATGTTATGTATCTGTTATTAACTGTTATGTAATTATCTAGGAAAAAATTAAATAAACAAGGCAGATAACCACAGGCGTTAATGTACGATGCAAATCATAGACAAGTAAATTAAATCATCAAAGTCATAATAATATTCAAGAGAAAATTATAATTTATATACAATTTATTTTACAATGAATATTATTATTATGACTTTGATAATTTAATCTACTTGTCTATGATTTGCATCGTACATCAATGTCTGTAGTTATCTGCCTTCTTTATTTAATTTTTTCTTAGATACTTATCTTTCAAGCCACTTTTATTTAATTTTTTCTTTAATATCATGCTGGCAAATTATGCGTTCTCGACATTTTGGTTTTTATAATTTTATCAAGTCTTTTTTTGGTTCTGAAGCAAAGAAAAAAAAGTGCTTATTTTTGTATAATTTATATACGATTTATATTACAATTTTCTCTTGAATATTATTATTATGACTTTGATGATTTAATCTACTTGTCTATGATTTGCATCGTACATCAATGCCTGTGGTTATCTGCCTTCTTTATTTAATTTTTTCCTAGATACTTATCTTTCAAGCCACTTTTATTCAATTTTTTCTTTAATATCATGCTGGCAAATTATGCGTTCTCGACATTTTGGTTTTTATAATTTTATCAAGTCTTTTTTTGGTTCTGAAGCAAAGAAAAAAAAGTGCTTATTTTTGTATAATTTATATACGATTTATATTACAATTTTCTCTTGAATATTATTATTATGACTTTGATGATTTAATCTACTTGTCTATGATTTGCATCGTACATCAATGCCTGTGGTTATCTGCCTTCTTTATTTAATTTTTTCCTAGATACTTATCTTTCAAGCCACTTTTATTCAATTTTTTCTTTAATATCATGCTGGCAAATTATGCGTTCTCGACATTTTGGTTTTTATAATTTTATCAAGTCTTTTTTTGGTTTTGAAGCAAAGAAAAAAAAGTGCTTATTTTTGTATAATTTATATACGATTTATATTACAATTTTCTCTTGAATATTATTATTATGACTTTGATGATTTAATCTATTTGTCTATGATTTGCATCGTACATCAATGCCTGTGGTTATCTGCCTCCTTTATTTAATTTTTTCTTAGATACTTATCTTTCAAGCCACTTTTATTTAATTTTTTCTTTATTATGTAACTGTTATATAACATATAACAATTATATCATTGAGTAAGAAATTACAACTAACAGTTATACAGATGTTATTTGGTGCTTGCTGGGTTTGTTTTTTATCATTGTTATTTCAGATACGAGCAACACTATGAGAAACCGGAAGCTGGGAGCCGACATTACAGACGAGTCGCACGCAAGCGTGAAACCCAGAGAAAGATTCTCTCCATTGCCGACGATGAGAATCAAACCCACCCGTTTGATCTTAACAATCTCGACGAGTTCCAGGAGGCTGACTGTATTCGACCGGAATACATTGTGTTCACTTGGATCTTATGCCTGATCGCGCTCGCCTCAGCCCTGAAGCTATACTATCTGATAAAGACGGCGTTGGCCGCGGCAATCGTCCTGGCGTACGCAGTGCTGATCCTCATCGTGTGCAAAGACATGTTTACCGAGGGGGAGAGACACGCGTAAGTCGGCTTAAACTTAACCCAGCAAATCCTAAGTAACATTTATGGAACTGTTAATTGTAATTTCCCACTCAACAATATAACTGTTACATAATATGTTATATTCTTGAGTGGGAAATTACAACTAACAGTTATACTGGCTGTTAAAAAAGTCTAGACACGGTCGAATATCTCGACAAGGAAGAGTTTTACTAGAAAGTGTTTCAGACAAAAGTTGTATGACTTGAAAAGGGCCATCAGAGGGTGGCAATGATTTGATCTTGAAGAGTTATTTGAAAGTTACATGAAGATCACCGTTAATTTCTTAAATGGAATTCCTTATTTTTTATTTCATATTCTTGTAGTTTATCTCGAGGGCTTTCCAAAACACTATAATTAAGTTAGTTTTTATTAAGTACTTTCCGAATTATGAGGCTTGATCGTTTCTTAATTTTACATAAACTGTAAAATATCTTGTAAAATATTCATTTTTCGATTATCTTACCTTAATACTTTTATGTACAAAATAATGAGAGGAATCAATTGGTGTAAAGAAAACACATAGTTGTTTCTAAGAAAAAATATATAATTTGCAATTAACAATTCCATATTTTTTCTCAAAAATAACTACACGTTTTCTTTATATCAATCGATTCCTCTCATTATTTTGTACATAAAAGTATTAAGGTAAGATAATCGAAAAATGAACGTTTTACAAGATATTTTATGGTTTATGTAAAATTAAGAAATTATTTCAAGCCTTATAACTCAAAAAGTACTTGATGGAAAAATACTTTATTATAATGTTTTGGAAAGCCCTCGAGATAAACTACATATGGAATAAAAAATAGGGAATTCCATTTAAGAAATTGAAGATGATCTTCATGTGATTTTCAAATAACTCTTCATAGTCAAACCAATGGTACCATATTATGTCCCCCTCGAAGCCATACAACTTTTGTCTGAAACACTTTCTAATAAAATTCTTTCTTATCGAGATTTCGATCGTGTCCAGACTTTTTTAACACCCAGTATAACTGTTATTTAGTGTTTGCTGGGAATCAACAGAATTTAATCAATTTAATTTATCAATTTAAAATCAATAATAATAGAACCTTGACATGTGCTTTATAAAACTTCATTAATAACTTTAATCCCTCTTCTAGATCGGCGATATCCCTGCCGGCTCAGATGCTGACCTTCCTGACAGTCTTCCTCGTGATGGTCACGTATCACGGTAGATTGGTGGAGGTGACTTCGCGACTCGACTTCCTCTGGAAGCAGCAAGCTGAGAGGGAGTTGAGCGATATGATCGAATCGCGACACAACAATATGCAACTCCTGAAAAACATCCTTCCAGATCACGTGGCACATCACTTTCTCACGGCAGATCGCGCGCCGGAAGTAAGAGAAATTCGTCATCTCACACTGTTTGATATCCGGGATCCCATCTAAAGTGGCTATCCTCTTTTATCTTATCTAAACTAAAAGAGATAGACAAATATACATCAAATTAAATGATTCAAACTTAATTCTATTGAGCAGGATGGCTGTTTACAAAAGCTATTTGTGTTAGAAAAATAAAGAAAGAGTCATTTTAGATAGAGACGAGGGTGTCGCCTTCAGAATGTCCTTTTAATGATAGATTCTGTAATCAATCATGTTTTTACAAAGAAGCTAATTGGAGAGAAAAGGAGATAATTGACTGTTTCCAGACTTTTAAACCACTCTGTATAGCTGTTAGCTCTATTATTAATTTTATTAATCCAGGAACTCTACTCACAATCGCGAGACAAGGTCGGCGTGATGTTCGCCAGCGTGCCAAACTTTACAGAATTCTATTCTGAGGACGTCAACAAGGGAATGGAGTGCATTCGCTTGCTTAATGAAATCATTGGTACGGTGATCCTTAGATTTTATAAAATCAGGCCATTTTATAAATCGCAATAAATATATGAAATTTACGTCTTCGATTGTAATCGACGTATAATTTATTTAACAGCTGATTTCGACGAGCTACTGGATGAGACGGCGTTTCAGTGCATCGAGAAGATAAAGACGGTCGGTGCGACTTATATGGCCGCATCGGGACTAAACCCCAGCCAAACTGTAATGCTATCAAATATTTCTACATGATATAACAATACAATTATCCTAACATGCCAAAAAACGTTCTTAGAATATCTGGAGGACAGCCAAAGGATATTTTATGTCCTCTGGATGTCCCCTCGATGATCTCTGGACATCTTTTGAAGATGTGTGTTGTTAGGGAAATATTATCTTTAATTAATTATAAAAATATTATTTCTAATTAATTATAGAAATATTATCTTTAATTATAGGATATATAAGAATCATTTTTTATTAATTCTTTGATTTTAAAAATTCTCTCCTCCATCTAGATAATTTTTCAAACTAAACCCTGCCTTGTATAAATTATTTGATTCAATTGATATTTATCAAAATCATTTTTTTTGTTAAATTTTTATTCCCAACAAACACCAAGTAACATTTATATAATTGTTAGTTGTAATTTCCCACTCAACAATATAATTGTTACATGTTATGTAACTATTATTTTTAGTGTTTGCTGGGTCAGAATATCATAATGTAATGATATCAAATATTTCTACATGATATAACAATACAATAATTATCCTAACATGCCAAAAAACGTTCTTAGAATATCTGGAGGACAGCCAAAGGATATTTTATGTCCTCTGGATGTCCCCTCGATGATCTCTGGACATCTTTTGAAGATGTGTGTTGTTAGGGAAATATTATTTCTAATTAATTATAGAAATATTATCTTTAATTATAGGATATATAAGAATCATTTTTTATTAATTCTTTGATTTTAAAAATTCTCTCCTCCTTCTAGATAATTTTTCAAACTAAACCCTGCCTTGTATAAATTATTTGATTCAATTGATATTTATCAAAATCATTTTTTTTGTTAAATTTTTATTCCCAACAAACACCAAGTAACATTTACATAATTGTTAGTTGTAATTTCCCACTCAACAATATAATTGTTACATGTTATGTAACTATTATTTTTAGTGTTTGCTGGGTCAGAATATCATAATGTAATGATATCAAATATTTCTACATGATATAACAATACAATAATTATCCTAACATGCCAAAAAACGTTCTTAGAATATCTGGAGGACAGCCAAAGGATATTTTATGTCCTCTGGATGTCCCCTCGATGATCTCTGGACATCTTTTGAAGATGTGTGTTGTTAGGGAAATATTATTTCTAATTAATTATAGAAATATTATCTTTAATTATAGGATATATAAGAATCATTTTTTATTAATTCTTTGATTTTAAAAATTCTCTCCTCCTTCTAGATAATTTTTCAAACTAAACCCTGCCTTGTATAAATTATTTGATTCAATTGATATTTATCAAAATCATTTTTTTTGTTAAATTTTTATTCCCAACAAACACCAAGTAACATTTATATAATTGTTAGTTGTAATTTCCCACTCAACAATATAATTGTTACATGTTATGTAACTATTATTTTTGGTGTTTGCTGGGTCAGAATATCATAATGTAATGATATCAAATATTTCTACATGATATAACAATACAATAATTACCCTAAAATGTCAAAAAAACATCCATAGAATATCTAGAGGATAGCCAAAGAATATTTTATGTCCTCTGGATGTCCCCTCGATGATCTCTGGACATCTTTTGGAGATGTGTGCTGTTAGGGAAATATTATCTTTAATTAATTATAAAAATATTATCTTTAATTATCGGATATATAAGAATCATTTTTTTATTAATTCTTTGATCTCAAATATTCTCTCCTCCTCCTAGATAATTTTTCAAAATAAACCCTGCCTTGCATAAATTATTTGACTCAATTTATATCAAAATCATTCTTTTGCTAAATTTTATTCCCAGCAAACACCAAGTAACATTATTATTAATAATTATAAATAACATATATAATTATTAGTTGTAATTTCTAGTTAATTGTAACTATTATATAACATGTAACAATTATGTTGTCAAGTGGAAAATTATAACTAACAGTTATATAACTGTTATTTGGTGTTTGTTGGGTCAGAACATCATCAATTCTAAGATTGATCCTGATGTTAGAGGATTCAATTTCTGAAAGAACTCAAGTTTGCAAAGAGTTAAAATTCGCATAAATGGCAGGATAACTGCGGCGATGACATGGAACACCTGTGCAGTCTGGTGGATTATGCGGTCGCTATGCGCCACCGTCTCGAGGACGTCAACGTTCACTCGTTTAACAACTTCGATCTGCGAGTGGGCATCAGTTGCGGACCCCTCGTGGGTGGCGTGATCGGGGCCCGCAAGCCGGTCTTCGATATCTGGGGCAACACCGTCAACGAGGCTTCCAGGATGGACTCCACCGGCGTGATGGGAAAGATCCAAGTCCCTCACGACATCGCCAGGGTAAGGACAATAAATCCAGAGCAAGGGTTTATCAGCAAAACTGGCGATTAGCAGTTGGCCTAGATGAATAAATAATAAATGAATCATCGATCATTAATTCATTGTGTGTGCGCAGTTTTTGGAGTCGAGGGGTTACCAGACGCAGAAACGCGGGCTAATCGAGGTGAAAGGGAAGGGCACGATGGAGACGTACTTTGTGCTGGGCAAGGCAACCCTGCAAGCAGAGGGCACCCCCAGGCATAGGAGTACCTGTCGCAGCCTCGCCGCGGTCGTCTACGGGGTGGTTCAAGCGCGTCGCAAGCAAATCAGGAAACAGGCTCTGCGAAGGACGTAGATCGACGATTTTGATCGAAAAGTTTCGCTGTTAGATTGATGCAAAAGATCCGTCTTCATATATAATAATGGAGAACGCGAATCTGCGATGATGAAGGACTATATATCTCAGCAAACATCAAATAACAGTTATATAATTGTTATAACATTAATATTATATATAGTTTTAATATTAATATTATATATATAATATTAATATTAATAATATTAATAATAATATTAATATATTAATAATATTAATAATATTATTAATATTAATAATATTAATAATAATATTAATATATTAATAATAATAATAATATTAATATATTAATAATAATATTAATATATTAATAATAATATTAATAATAATAATATTAACAATAATATTAATATGAATATTATATATAATATTAAAACTATAATATTAATATTATATATAGTTGTAATTTCCCACTCAACAATATAACTGTTACATAACAGTTATATTAGTTATATTGTTGAGTCGAAAACTAACAATTATATAAATTATAAATTATTGTTATTTGGTATTTGCTGGGATCTCTAGAAAAATGTCGATGAAAAAAAATAAATAAAATTTTATCTATAATTTTAATGATAAAGTGCGAGAGATCAATCGAGAGAAACGAAGACGACTGCTTTTGCAGCGACCCAACGAGACAACGTGTCTGGATATTCAGATGACGAAGAGGGATATTTTTTCGTCCAATTTCATTTCCAGTGTCATTTTTTGCCACAAGATGTTGAATGTATATAGCACACTTACAATAAATAATCCATCTTATATAAAGATGAGTTACACACGCCTTTCCTTGATTACAGCTTACTTTAATTGAAACTTCTTCCGCTTATTACACAGAAAAGTGATTCCAACTAATAATCGCTATTAATCTAAAATGAGGAAATTAATAATAATTAATTAAAATTGACATATAAATTGTCGGTCGCTTCATTTTATCACAGAATGAGAGTAGCGTCACTCACTTCGCTCTGTAACGATGAAAGGAATTATTATTGTGATTGGAAAAATATACAACACCTCGGGAGGGGGAGCTCTCCGTGTAACCTCGTATATTACATTATTACGGTAAACACAATATTTATAATCAATATTTATAATTGTAATAATAATCCATGATAATAATGGCAATAATGATAATTATAATAAGGCTAACTACACAAGGGGGGGAGGTGACCACGGGACGCCACCACTCTTTCTCTCTCTCTCTCTCTCTCTCTCTTTCTCTCTCTTTCGAATCGATGGATTTCAAATCCGTCGATTCGACTGTACACGACTTTTACAACATACTCGCGAATAATTAATCTAATTTTACATATTAATCATTAGACAATTCATTACAATTACGAACCTAGAAGAACGTCACGACACGTAGGAAGGACCGTGCGCGTCCCCCTTCTCTCTCGTGTAGACAAAATTTCGCACCCTTCGCAGAAAGAATTTCGATTCCAACGAGAAGCAGGAATTTCAATTGCATTCGTTACATTTTTTTTTTTAACGCTGTCAAGGAGAGAAACTCAGGTTTCCTCGACACTTTGGGCGGCCAGTCCTATTTTCCTCTTAAAAAAAAATACATAGAATAAAACGTATTCTCAGCATTTAACGATATAAATAATAAAATTATTAATTACAATTTTTAATTAATTTAATAAAATGCAACAAAATCGTTATTAATTTTAATTAAAATCAATAATTATACAATTATAATATTCAATAATATATTTCGTCCCCTAATCAATATCATAAAATTTTAAAATATTCATCAATCTAGCAAAAGCTATAACAAATAAAAATAAACAATCGATTGAAATTCCTTATATTATAATCACATCCTTTTTGGGATTGGTTAGAGATTATTTTCTCATCGAAGAGGAGGAGGGGGGGATGCTCGGAAAATTTTGCCCGCGCGAGGCTCGATCGCTTTTTACGGAACGAGAGAAGGGAGAACTTGTCTCTTTTAAGATACAAAGGCACTGTACACGTAATGAACATACAATTAGAAGAGCGTTAAAAAGGCGGTCCGGATGATTCTTTCTCTCTCTTTTTATCTTTTCACGCCCGTCTCTCTCTCTCTCTTTCTCTCTTTCACTCCCTCTCGCTCTCCTTCTCTCATTTACATCTTTTTCTTTTCTCGACGATAAAACGTGCCCCGTTAAAAATATCGCTTCATTCTACAATATCTGTCTGTCGTTTTAAAATACGGCCATTTAAATTTACGGCCCTTAAAATAGGGGAGCGATTTTCCTTCGTTTCTAGCTGCATTGGTCGAGACTAACTTCTTCTCTCTCCTGTCTTTATCTAAATTATTATCTCTCTAGCTTCGTCATTTAAGGAAAAATAGATGACTATGATCGGATTGGATGCGCGGTAACTATTTATTATTATTACAGAATATGAGGGAAAGAGGAGGGGGATGGAGATTGCGAAGGGAAAGGGGGAAGAGGGCGGAAACGATTGGTCAATGCGATCAGAAGTCAAGAAAACGCTCCTGGCTTAAAGGTGGGATTTCTCACGCTTATCACAATTTGGCAGTGAACGTTTTCACTTTGTTGTTGTTGTTCTGTCGTTAAGAAATACACATAGCTTACATAGCGACGTAGTAGTAGTAGTAGTAGTAGTAGTGTTTCAGCCATTCTTTTTCAAAATCTATACACATATATACTCGTACGATTGCTAGCTATATTAATGGCTCGCTCTATATATATGTCTAATTAACGCTACGCTTTTTATACAGGTTTATCCGTATATATACAAATGTATGTGTGTGTATATGTATATGTGTACATATATGTACGGCTTGGATTGATGAGAAAAATATGACTTCCCTATATATTATATTTCACGGATCAAAAATAAATTCTCGTCTGGTCTGCATAGTTCTTTTTCATATCTCGGTTCTTTTAGGGTGTACAATTTAAATTATCAATAGTAGTAGTAGTAGTAGTAATAGTAGTAATAATAATAGTAGTAGCACGGTTTATAGCGAAAATATGTTTTCACGCATTCTCTGTCCTTTTGTATGAACAATTTCATTAATCCTTCATGGATACAAAGTTAATTTTTTAGGGAAAAGAAGAAATTTCTCGCTCTTCTCGAAACTTTTTCAGATTTTTTTTAAATTACATTATATTACAGTTCATGAAGGATCAATGATCGTCCTTATCTTTATGTTTGTCGAGAACGCTCAAATTCGTTTGTACGCATCCGATTACGCAGATCTGCATGATTTTGGTTTGGTCTGGAAAAGAAAGGCAATTTCCTATGATTTTTCGAAATCGAATCCGTAAGTAAAAATGTCCTATCAAGTCAAATTTATGAGGAAAATGAAGTTAAAGCTCTTCAAAAATGATTTTTCTACATTTCTGAAAAATGATTTTTCTACATTTTTGTATTTCACATTTTTTTTTAATTTGAATATTGCTTGAATATTGTATTTTAACATGAAAATATAAAAAGAATCTTGTACTGCAAGCACAATGTATAATTTTGCTTGCGGATTTGATTTCAGGAAACTACTTTTTTTCCCAGATTATAGAAAAAAAGTAAAATTTTGCAGACGTGTGTTATTTCTTCTTGCGAATCTCTTTTACCAATTTTTATCGACGAAAGAATTAAACTCGAAGAAAGACTTTTATGACAAGAGGTGTCTACTCAAACACTCTACAGAAAAATTTCCTGATTTTTCTATTCAAGCATTTCTATTCGAAATTCCAGATAAAAAGAATACTTTGAAGATTTTTTGATGCAATTTTCTAAAATAAATTTCTTTCTTGTATGCGATGTCACTTATGTAAAGGAGAAACATTTAAGTCTCAAGTGCTAGATTTGTAAATGTACTGAATAGTTTTCGTAAGATAAACATTTTTCACTTTTTATCATTAAAAATTGCAATAAAATACTTGTATTGCATGTTCAATATTTTGTAGAGACATTAAATATATAAACAGAGATAGATATTATATTTGTAATGTATTGTAAACTTTCCCATAATTCACTAGCTAGTTACAAGAGCAAAATTATCGAAGGGAGAATTTTTTTTAAAGAACTCCTCGAATTCAATAAAGTTCCATAAGAATTCCCTGACTTTTTCAGATACAAAAGAGAATTCCCTGAGAGTTCCAGGTTTCCCATGTTTTTCTAAAAAGTAGACACCCTATATAAAGAACACGATTAAAGGGGCTCTCAAGTTTTTCCAATCGGGTGGATTATAATCGCCTTAATTTTGTATTAATTTACAAAAATATCGAACAAACGCACGACACAAACGAATGCTTTCGTTTTTCTTCAACTACAAAGGAGCTCTCGCTCTCGAAGGAGTTCTCTACATTCTTATAAATTTGCCTAACATCCTTATCCTTTACATTATATTTTACCTATTTATATTTATTTCTTTATTTATTTATATTCATATATTTATATATTTATAATATGTTTACACACAGTAAATCACTAAAAAATAGACTTCTAAAATCCCCTCGCAAGTATTAATATTACAAAAACATTTAAAACAAAAATGAAATAATTTTGAAAAGATTACATTTCAGTTATCTTTATTTCTATTTTATTTTATTTAGAGTGATAAATATTGCAAGGAATTGATGTATAAACAAATCAGAGTGACTCTATTTAAAAAAATAAAGATGATTTTTAAAACCTTTTACCACCTTTATCTAAAAAAAGAAGACAATCAAAAGATAACTTTTTCAAAATTATTTCATCTTCGTTTTAAATATATTTTTTGTATAAAACCAATATTTTTTAAGAGATCTTAGAAAAGACAGTTTTTTCTAGTGATTCATCCCGTGTATACATATGTGTGTATGTGTGTGTGTGTGTGTATGTATAATTTACGAATTAATGATTAATCGAAGGATGTCGAGTCAGTTCGAAACTTGCGGCTGCCGGCGAGATAATATAATACGATAATATATATATATATGCATGGATCACTTTCCTTTTCCACCGGCAATCGTGCAAAGTTGAGATCATATAACGTTCTTGATCTAAAATGTGAAAAACGAAATTATTTACCGTCCCTCCTCCCTCTGCACTCTTCTATGGCGGAGACCCTGTCTCGTGTATTTCATCCCTCCCCCCTTCCTTTTTTTACACACTTCGTCCGGAAGCGTCGCGCGTGATCGTCTTTGACCGTACGCTAAGTTTAACACACGTACAGATGCCCAACATTCGCCAGAAGATCATTGCTGAATCATCTCCTTCGGACGTCTCAATTTGAAAACTCGATCTCTATTCTTAGAAAAAAAAAATGATAATAATAATACAAGTCCTTGATACATAAAACGAGACACTGATATGTCAATTTAGCGAATGTCGAGGCATTTAATGTACGGAAAATAGAAGAGAACGCGGCAGTTATTTTCTCTCCAAACTACTCACTCGATGGAACTAGGCGCTTCTAGATATTCAAAAATACATCCTCCACTTTTTCTTTTCTCTTTTTGTCCCCCCTCTTTCCCTGCGCGACTTATTGGGGCCTGGAGGATCGAGGAGTTGAAAGTTAAAAGCGAATCCATATCCGTCACGAATTGGTCCTCTTCGCTGCCCCTTGAATTAAGTGAACACTGTTTGCAGCTTCTTCAAGGAATTAGCTTCTTCAAAGCAATTTTTTGCCCCTCGATATCTATAAAGCCACGAAGAGAACCCGAAGCGTTCAATTCAACCTGATTTTCGCGTTTTTGGGTTGGACGTCTGATGACGAATAGGACAGATGAGTCGCTCTTAATCCTTAAATTCCTCCGAATCGAACGTTAATATACAAGGTGGCGGTCTGGCACGTTGTCGACTACGAACGCCGCGATCAATTGACGAGACTGTGAGTGAAAAGGTACGTTTGTTCTCTTAAAGTTATAACCTGATGAACAGAAGCTCTTCCTCTCCTGCTGGCGTATCTCTCTCTCTTCGACTCTTGGCGAAAAACCTCTCGCGTATCATCGCCCTGCGCGCATATTTTTTTTTTGGTCTTGTTAAATCTTAAGGATCCCGTCAACGCAAGCATTTTAAGCCCTCATCGGGAGAATAGAATTTCTACGGGGGATCAAAGCTTTACAAAAGTTAGCTAACTCATTAGAACAATGCGAGAACAATGTGGGAAAATTCGAAAATTTGACAACGCTTTGGAGCCTCAGACTTCACTATTCTGCTTTGTTTCGTCAGATCCATCCTTTGTGTTTCCAATTTCTTTTATTTCTCCGTTTATTAACTTTGACAATCAACGACAATCAATCGACAGTCCCCTCCTGGAGATCGAAAGTGCTTATGCAGGGAAGATTGAAATTTTACACGGCGAGAAATCAAAAATTCCTTTCTCATGTCAATTGGGAGATAACGTGTGTTAGTTGGCAGTAGACATCATTCCACGCCCTAACGACACCCTCGCTAATTTTCTTCATTTTTTTTTTGCTTTTTCAAGACCCTCCACGTCGATTTGTATACAAAAATGTATAAATAGTTTGAGCAGTTCCACGTAGTGGCAGTAGCTTGCCTTCATACGCATATTTTCCTAACAACGATCAATTAACGACGAGCGATCGTTCATTCCCTTACGCAATTCTACACTGTATAATACACTTAATAAACGGCTAATCTCTCTTTCTCCTAGCGTCTTCGTAAGTGGCAGTGAATCACGTTATCGCCAAGTCTTGTAAGTCAACCGATTCTAAAGAGAAATTCTTCACGATAATTAATTATATGATGATAAGGAGTCTGATGAAAGAAAGCGTCCAACGTACCAAAACGGAAACGATCGCATGACGATGCCGCGGGGCGATTATTACACGCTATTTTACATCCTCCGACAGTCGGGAACAGTCTTCTCCAAGTCGATACCCAAGAGCTATGTAAAGAAGAAAATCATGTGATCGCCGTCGCATATTTACAGAGAATAAATTGAACGGCGACTTTTCCTCTTCTTCTTTCTTTTTAAAGATATAAGCCAACTAGATTTGTACAAACAACGCTAACTAATGAGCGATCGCCTCGAGGACTTTTCTCTCCTTCTCTCTTTCTTCCCCAGGATCGGCTCATGCAAGACTCACTGTCACGGAATGACAGCTTAAACGTCATATCGTACACAGATTGAGGCAAAAATATACAATTATTATGACGAGGCAACGCATGACCTATAATATTTCAAGTGTCGATTTTAGAAAAAGTTTTTTTATCAAGAGACATTGTTTACGGGGTGTTTCAGACCACATTTTTCATTGCATATTCTTGTACCTTACCTCGAGAACTTTCCAAAACACTATAATAAATTATTTTTCCATGGAATGCTTTTCGAGTTATGAGGCTTGAAATCATTCTTAATTTTACATAAACCATAAAATATCTTGTAAAATATTCATTTTTCGATTATCTTGTCTTAATACTTTTATGTACAAAATAACGAGAGGAATCAATTGGCGTAAAAAAAACACATAGTTGTTTTTAAGAAAAAATATGTAATTTGCAATTAACAATCCCATATTTTTTCTTGAATCCAACAATTGATTCCTCTCATTATTTTGTACATAAAAGTATTAAGGTAAGATAATCGAAAAATGAATATTTTACAAGATATTTTATAGTTTATGATTAAGAAATTATTTTAAAATTAAGAAATGATTTCAAGCCTCATAACTCGAAAAGTACTTCATGGAAAAACAATTTATTATAGTGTTTTGGAAAGCTCTCGAGGTAAGCTACAAGAATATGTAATGAAAAATAGGGGGTTCCATATAAAAAAATGCACTTCCGGTCTGAATTGCCTATTTCCGACCGGAGCCAGAAGTTGAAAATATCACCATTCGATAGAGCGGCACGCGATTTATAAAGAAAATGTTTTTACTTTTTTTAAATAATCACTTCTCTAGTTTTTAAACGGGTGGTCTGAAGATTCCATAATTTTTACTAAATCCTTGCCTTTTTCTAAAATCGAAATTAATGTCATGCTCTGCCTGTTTCATTTGGAACATTCGTAGACGATCGCCTATGAGGAGCTTTCAAGGAGCCGGTCCCGGTTCGTTTCGAGTAGCTCTCAGGTACACTGATAATGATGCTTATCGCAACAAATGTCCTCTCGTTACCTGCAAGGAATAACGCTAGTAGCAATAACCATCCGGGAAGAATCCGCATTTCCCGGATGGTGGTGATCACTACTGTTGCAGCGTGCCGAGAAAGTCTAAATATCTGTGTTGCATGTAACCTCAGGAGGACTGGCCGAGCTGTGCCTGCGACATAGTCGACATCGCCGCCGCCGCCGCCGCTGCCGCCGATGACGACGATGATGACGACGATGAGGGAGTGGTGGCGGAGGTGGTGGCGGTAACCTGCGGCATGTGTAAAGTGAATCCGTCGTAGACATCCATTAAGTCGCGCATGCGATACTCCTCGAGGCAGACGAATCCTTCCAACGATGGAGATTGCTTACGCGCGCAATCCATGCAATGCACTACGTGACGTTTCTCTTGCTCGCGGATAAATAGAATATTGAACACCTCGATCTGCAAAGAATAAAATATATATTAAAATATATATTAAATGATATATTAAAATATTATATATTAAAATATTAGATTATATATTAAAATATTATATATTAAAAATGAAAAAAAAATATAATAAATAATATATATAAAAAAGAATATATAATATATTCTTTTGTATATATATTATTTATTAATAAATATTATATTAAAAAAATGAAATAAACTAAATTTGTTTTTCAACGCTTGTTTTCTAGAAAAGAAAATAGTTTCGACATCTCAGGAGATATCAGATATCAGATATCTATTTTCTTTACTTTCATAGAATGAAATTTCATAGAATGAAATGTGTGTAGAATTCTATATGTCTTCTGTGTGATAATAAATTTCTACGAAAATTGTTTTACTGAAACATTTATAAGAAAGAAAGACATGCCTCGCATTGACCGCAATAATGCGAAGCCTCATTCTTGCCCCGGCCGTGGAAACGCACTTCCACCCCCTTGCTCTTCACAAACTCTAGTATCAAGCAACACTGTCGTATTGTCCGCAGCAAGCAGTTCTTGATGAGCTCGAACAGCCGCGGATCCGATACCTTGATGTTGCGCGCCAGGTTCCACGAGAGATGCACCATGGGCACGATCGATTTAAAGGCCTGCAATTTATTCCATTCGTAGCGCTCAATTGCAAGCTGATACTGTCTGGCGGTGAGCGGTCCGACGTTCCACGCGATGTTGTTGCACCAGCCGACTGCTTGCACCCAGTGCACGCAACCAGCATTCACCCACACGAGGTCGCCCGGTCGTTGGAGAAACCTGTACACCGGGATGTTCTCCTCGTACAGGTCGTCCAGGTTCGGCCACCAGCTGCCGTGCAAGTAACTGATGCCGTTGCGCTCGCAGAGCGAGCATATCATGCCCCAGTAGGCGTCCGGTACCGCGAACCATTCGCAATCGCCTGGTCCGATGTTGATGTTGATCGAACAAAAATTATTGTTCTCCTGGTGGCCGGGTGTCCTGCTGCCTGGTACCTGAAAAGAAGTACAAAGCTTAATATGTTTGAAGAATACAAGACACGAACGTACCAAATCCATTATTCGTCTTTTCGAAATAGCACTGGAATGTTGTAGGTCTGATGAAATAATGTTAGATTATCTTATCATAAAAATAAAGAAAAAACTTACTCGAAGGAAGAAACGATGAAAGAATGTGCGTACGAGGGAAGAATGTGTTTAAGTCACACCAACAGAGGAATTTTTTATTTGTGTATTTTGTAAAAATACAGATTAAGTTACTAGTAAAATTATGTAATAATTATTGCTGATCAAAATTACTTCAAGCTCTGTCATATTATCAGAACTCACTTAAAAAAGTACGCAGATCTTTAAAAAATGAAAAATTAAATCAAAATAGGTACATAAGAGTTACAGCAAAGAAACAACACTTTCTTCTTATTAATTGTTGGGTTATTTCAAGCTTAAAATTACAAAAATAACGGGCGTTATTTATGTAATTTTACTCACATGTGTCAATTTTGATTTAATTTTTTATTTATTTGGATCAAATCCCTAACTATTAATATTTAAAAACTGCCCTATTGTAAAAGTGTGACACCAAGTGACTAGATCTATTCTTCCCTTAAACTCTTCATTTGTTCAAAATATTCTTCAAATTGCTATGCAGAAAATATACTGGAACCTCTCAATAATATATAATAACACCTCGAAAAAGAATATTGCATTCTTTATATAAAGTGTCTCATTTTAATTTATTCCTCCTTCAAAAAAAATTTTTATTTTTTATCATAGAAACAAATGCTTCAAACAAAGGTTGTTTCAAGAGAGAAAAAAGGTAGAAATATTAGTTTGGATAGATGTGAAGATTAACTTAGTTCTTTTAAATAGAACTACCCTAATTTGTCTATATAAATATATTTCTCACAATATTCCCCGTTAAAAAGTTATCACAAGGATTACTCAATATTGACATAGATGATATAATTTACATTGTTTATACAAAGATGTAGATATTATAATTTACAGATAAATGTTCAATCCATGTCCCTGGTTTATAATTGATTAAAATGATCGATGATTTACTATTTTGAGATTCCAGTGTACTCTACGTCAGTGATTCCTAAAATGAGGGGGGAGGAAGTGATTATATTTACAGTGCAGCTATTTGAAGTTCAAATATTTTTAACCTAAATATTTTGATAATTTAGTAAACAATTAAATTAATAAATTAACAATATTAATTAAATTAATAATATTAAATTAATAATTAACAATTAATTCAATAATCATCAAATAATTTACTATAATATAATTAATCTTCACGTAGCTCTAGAATAAAATCAGTTTTTCGAACAAGCGACAACTTTATGAAAATATACGCAAGTCGCAACCCTTACTAATAATTTTTTCTCTCATTTCTATCTTTATCGAAAGGGGTACTGATGAAATATTTCTTTTAAAGAGAAACATCAGCCAGAAAAAGACTGGAAATCACTGCCTTACCTCTTTTGAAAAAATTATACATTTTTCTAATTCTTCTAATTATTTTACCTTCATGTATAACTGCACCGTATTCATCCCCAAGATGACATGGCCGACATGGCTAAGCATATTGCCGGCCGATACCACTCTAGCGAAAGCCGGTAACTTCATTAGCTCGTGCAACTGCGGTTTCCATTTTCGCTCGTCTGACAGATCCACGTTGGTGCCAAAGCGCAGCATCTTGGTTCCTGGTCGACCGGCCAAGCCAAAAGTATTCTTCTTGCGTCTGACCGTTTGACCAGTGCTGTCCTTTGAGTCCGAATCTGACAGGTTGGAGACGTGTATTCCACCGCCTTGCACCTTCTCTTCTCTCAGGCTCTCTTGAAAGCTCGACGCCTGGTACTGCGCATACTTGGCGATTGTCGTATGGCTACGATGACTGATGCAATTCCAGACCTTCTTGTTGAGCGTAGGATCCCAATTCTCCTCGCTGGTCTGCTGCATCTGCGTCCTCACCTCGATACCGTGATCTGGATTCGCTTCCACTAAGGTCTTAGTCGAGAACAGGCCCAAGTCAAGCTTGAGCGCTGCCGCGAGGCCGCGTATCGCAGCGATTGGATGCTTGAGACAGAATTCTTGTAGCTGCGGGCTGAACGCGTCCTTCTTGTTCTCCAGATAAACGCTCGGCGTAGGCGGCAACAATTGTTCCTTCGTCAGTCGTTGATTGGGCGGGTCTGGCGGAGCCGGTGGTGGCGAACGATCGCTCAATATCGAGCAATTCGGCACTCCGTTTAATCCCTGACCCTTGCACGCCTCGATTATCATCCTCGCATCCATTTCAATACTAAGCTCTTGCTCCGGTTGTGACTCGCACAACGACTCGAGCTTCAAATTCATTGTTGTCGGTGTCTCTGCCTTGGAAATGTTGACAGCAGCTTCGCTCTTGTTTGTCATCGCCGACATCGTCGTCGTCGTTGTACTCGAGGACAACGACGACATTGTCGTTTCACTCTTCACCGTCGTCGTCGCTGTCGTCTCACACTTGACTGCTGCTACCGTAGTCGTCGTTGCGACTGTCGTCACGGGTGTCGTCGTCACAACTTCCGCCGTCGATTTCGGCTGCGTTGGTTGGCAAGAAGCTTCCTCAGGCTTTTCCAGCTTGATCTCCTTCGCTTTGTCCGCCGCGTTTTCCTCGAGATTCGATGGCGAGAATGGACCGGAGCTCAGTGTACCGTTGTCATTGACGCCGCTACTCAATGGCTCCTCCTTCACGACGGTGTCTAGACCATCAGAGCCAAAGTGCTTAAGGAGATCCTCCGCCAGCGACGTAGCAATGTCCTTCTGTGATAACAGCGCCTGCAACTCCTGATCCGTCATGTCCAGATTGTCCTTATTTACCACGGCCGCAGCGGAACTTTCCGGATAGCCGCCGGTCACCGAAGAGATTTGCGTGTAACCCTGAGCAGCGTACTGATTCGGCTGCTGCTGGTACTGACCGCCATATTGAGGGCCGCCTGCGATTTGTTGCCTCTGAGGCGGATAAGTGGGGTCGGAGGCAGATTTGTAAGGCATGCCTGGTGACTGCGTAGTGTTCCCGGTCGCCGCTGTATTGTAACCAACGTTGGTGTCCGAGAAGCCTGTCTGCAGTGCCACCGTACCTCCCTGCAACTGAACGCCGATCGAAATTAAATGATATACAGGGTAGATCAAAAGTCTGGATACAGTCGAATATCTCGTATAGAATGCATTTTAGGACAAAATGCTTTAGACAAAAGTTGTAAGGATTAAAAAGATGTATTTAACTGTAATATCTATTTGACAGTGAATGGCGTCGCCAAGATCAGGGCAAGGTCAATTGAATTTTTTTAATGGAATTCCCTATTTTTCATTGCATATTCTTGTAGCTTACCTCGAGAGTTTTCCAAAATATTATAATAAATTATTTTTCTCTGAAATACTTTTTGAGTTATAAGGCTTGAAATAATTTCTTAATTTTACATAAACCATAAAATATCTTGTAAAATATTCATTTTTCGATTATTTTATTTTAATACTTTTATGTACAAAATAATGAGAGGAATCAATTGGTGTAAAGAAAACACATAGTTGTTTCTAAGAAAAAATATATAATTTGCAATTACCAATTCCATATTTTTTCTTAAAAACAACTGTATGTTTTCATTACACCAATTGATTCCTCTCATTATTTTGTACATAAAAGTATTAAGATAACATAATCGAAAAATGAACGTTTTACAAGATATTTTATGGTTTATGTAAAATTAAGAAATGATTTCAAGCCTCATAACTCGAAAAGTACTTGATGGAAAAATAATTTATTATAGTGTTTTGGAAAGCTCTCGAAGTAAGCTACAAGAATATGCGATGAAAAATAGGGGGTTCCATTTTAAAAAATGCACTTCCGGTCTGAATCGCCTATTTCCGGCCGGAACCAGAAGTTGAAAATATCACCATTCGATAGAGCGATACCCGATTTATAAAGAAAATATTTTTACTTTTTCGAAATAACCACTTCTCTAGTTTTTAAATTGGTGGTACTGGTCTGAAACACCCTGCATTGACTTTAACGTGACATGTTTACATAAAAAAATTAAAAGAATCAGAACTTGTCATGACAAAAATTTCCGCAGAGTCTAAGACTTTCTCTCCAGCATGCGAGAAGGCTAGATTAGCGGCATAAGAATGAATATTATCCGACATTTACCGGTTGTTGCGGTATCCCATAGTTCTTGATGACACCCGACGACTGGCCGAGATTCTGAGGGTGACCGCCATAGGCCGTGGGATGACCGGGCTGTCCTGGCCTTAGGGTCCGCTGCGCCGCTTGCTGTTGCAGCCTAATGTGTTGATGCTGCTGCATCGCACGGTACTGTTGCTGCAGCTGGACGAGCAAGGCCTGTTGCTGCTGCGTCAGACTGCCGTGATTTTGCTGCAGGAACTGCAGCATTTGGAGTTGCTGCGACGATAGACCACAGTACGGTGGTGGTCGTTGCTGCGGTGCGGCTGATATCGCCTCGTCGGTCTATTGACGCAAAAAAAAATTCATTAATCTTCAATACAAGCATGAGATACCCAATCAGCCCTAATATTTTCTTTATACATCTTTATTTAGCTTCTAACGTTATCTTCCTTATACAGGGTGTCCCAGACTTAATGAATCAGCCGTTAATGGTAGATTCCTGAGATCATTTGGAAATGAAAATCTTAATACCAAAATATTGAGGGAGACTTCATAAGTGGGATATTTGTATATCTTCACTTTTGATCATTCATTCATAAATTCCTCTTGCAAATAATTTTGAGATTTCCTATAGTAAACCGAATATTAGATTATATGATCAGATAAGACCTCTACCTTAAATCGCTTGGGGTTCTGTACTTGAGCTTGAGGATAAGGCGGAGGCGGACCAGTAGGTGTGGTGCCATATTTGTACGAAGGTCCGCCAGGTTGTTGTTGTTGCTGTTGCTGCTGCTGCCGGCTAGTGATCTCCGCACTGATCGGCAGATTCCAAGCGTCCTCGATCGACGGCAAATGCCGCTTCCTGTAAATAGAGATGAAAATTAGGATAATGGCTTGATAACTAATAAAAAAGTATAAATACACCAAAGCTTTGAAAGTTTCTAAAATTCCAAAAATACGATTGAAGCTAAAAGTAGAGAGTGTGGTATAAAAATACATGATATGTCTTTTCCGTATCGACCGTGTGATATATTTGATAGACGCGAAACGTTTTTAACTGTTCGGTGATTTTTATTAGATTGACGCGGTTTCTTGTTTGCGAAACGGAATAATAATCATGCTGCTCGTATGACTTTTCCCTGTTATTGTTGTAGAACGAGTGCTCCAAAAATAAATATTTTCAGCACAATATTTATGAAATGTCATTTTATATCGATCATAATTTTCGATATCAAAACAAACTCTTTACATGTTGAAAAAACTCAATGTTTCTTATATTCAGAAAACGAGAAAATATTATTTTGATCGAATATGAATAATTCTTATATGTTTAAGCCGTTGATCATATTTATAATATTATATTTGACCTTTTATAACGTGAAAAAAAGAAAGACTTTAGAATACATTATAAGAAAAGTCTATTTATAAAAATATCGATATAAAGCGGCCAATTTTATATGTGTTTTTCCTTGTTCTTCGTTTTATTATATTTATAGTTAATAGATATTTTTTTCTTCACAAAAATAGACTCTTAGAGAATTTTAATGGTTTTTGCGAAATATGAAATGCGAGATGAAAATTCAATCTTTTGTAATCCCAATTAATTTCGACACGTTATTTTGTATTTCAATACGTTAATGTTGCGTAATCGAGTCCCTTATTATTCCGAAAAAATTCGAAAATTATAAAATCATAAAATTAAATTTAAATAAAAATAAAATTCAAAAAATAAAATAAATAAATAAATAAAAAGAATAAAATTCAACAAATAAAATTTGCAGCCTGCAATGATTCCATTGTTAGAGGATTATTAAAAATGAGATTTGCATCGGAGGATTAATATTTAAAAAAGATAAGATTTTAAAAATAAAATTGAATTAAAATTGAAAAAAATAATTAAATTCAAAAAATAATTATCGTCTATAATTTATCTATCCGAGGATTATTACAAGTGGAATGCGAGGGGTTAATATGATTGAGTGTAAACGGAGAATCGTGTCGTAACATTGTAATATAAATTGATTTTTTTTCGACTCACTTGGTAGCGACAGAAGGCATTGGTGGTGCTTGACTTAGGTGACTTTGCAGAAAGTTGATGCGCTGTTGGAGGGACGGGTTCATCGGGTTGTTGCCACCGGACTTGACGCCACCCAGGCCCATCAGTGGACCCGTGCAATTCGCTGCGTTGCTGTTTCCCCTGTAAAACCAGAAGGACGACTCTCTTATCTCAAATTGACCTAATAACCCAATCGTTCGTCGACTTGTGAATTTTTTAAATCGCGTCGCGGAACATAAATCTAGCCTTCAACTTACAACCACGTGCCGATCTCTGAGCTAGAAATACACTGATATATCATGGAGCGTAAAAATGCACGCATGATATGACGAGTAAATAAAATGATTAATCAACATGCTAGAAATTTACCTACAGAGATAGAGCGTGTAACAATTATAATAATTGAGATTTTTATTTTCTGATTAAAAATCACATATTTCTTTTCTTTTTCTTTTAAATTTAATTTTAACAATAATAATTAATAAACTAATTACTACTACTTAATAAACTAAATTATAACAAGTTTTCATCAGTGTTGAAAAGAAATGAAATAATTAAATAGTTCATTTAATATCATAATATATTCATTTTATACGTTTAAGCAATTTATCATATTTGGCCTCTTAAGTTGTCGAAAAAAAAGAAGGACATTGAAATATATTATAAGAAGCTCTGTTTAATTTATAAGAAATAATTTTAATTTTAACTTAATAATAATTTAATTTCATAATAAACGTGCTCTTATTTTAAATATAATCTATCTAACTCGCGTTACATTGATGCATGACATGCAATTTACCTGGATGCGTTGACGTAACAAGCCAGAGCGTCTTTCGGTTGGCTAACGCTTTCGTACAATATCCCTAGATTAGTCCAAGCGGCCGAATGGGTCTTGTCTAGCTGTACAGCGCATATGTAGGCTTGTAGTGCATCCATAGGCTGATTCTGCTGCTGATACAGAACGCCTATGCTGCACCATGTGTCTGCATTGCCTTCCGATTTTTCGACGGAATTCCTGCCGAGAACATTTTCAAATCATGATAAAAGAAACAAGCATTTTGTATGAATGTAGTTAGAAAAGTCTAAGAAGAAGCTAATAACGAACCCTAATTTCTCATTAGCTTCATATATATTTTTTATCTAAAACGTCAATATTTAAGCATCTTTATAAGTTAATGATCATGAAAAAAATTACTTCAAATTATATATATATTTTTAAATTTTTACATATTGTATCAATTATATATTAAATAGATATTATAATATTAAATAGATATAATATTAATTTAATATGCAAATATTTATTATTTCTCTCTTTTCTATATCTTTATTTTATTTTATTGAAATAAATTAAATTGAACTTTGAATTTAATAAATAATAAAATCTCCTTTTATTTACTTAATACAATATATAAATAATATATAAATTTTCATCAATAAAAATTACTATATTATATAAAAATAATTAAATTATTTTCATATATTCAATATTATACTCTAAATAAATAAACTATTTAGAATATTCTATGATATGATGTTTATATATTTAAATGTATATAAAATTTAATTTATTAAATTAATTATTAATTAATTATTTTAGGAAAAATATATTAAATAAAATTTAAAAATTATTTAAATAAAAATATGGAAATAAAAGAAATAAAATAACAAGTACAAATATAAAAATCGTATAAAAATTTATATATTAGTTTCATTTTCTTCAAAACTCTTGAAACAAATTATTTCTCGAAAATTCAACTCATTTCTTTTATCTAAAATAAACCTTTCAATATTTAACATTAAAAATGGCTTATATATATAAATCCATCTATACATATAATTTATAAATCATAATTTACTAAAGTTATTCATTGCAAAATATCATTTTATATTATATTATTCCCAGTTTTTCTTTTACTCTCCTTACTTATCCTATTTTATATGCTTGTATTACCTGTACGCGATAAACGCATCGTGAACCTTTCCGGAGGCAGCCAGACAACGACCCAAGAGGTAGAGGCTCTGTCCACTCTTAGGTTCAGCCTCGATGGACTTGTGAAGACAGTGGATAGCTATCGTCTGCTTCTGCTGTCTGGTTATGCCCAGCACCGTACAGTCAACCACATGGTACATCCATCCTGCAAACGACAACGTGATTCATACACACGCGCTATTCCGCTTTCCTCCTAGAGCACCGCACCGAGGTGTTATCTCGACGCTAGACGAGAAGCTAGTGAGCTATACTCGATAGATTTTCGCAGGTACAGCCTAGGGATAGCTCTGGCAATCGCGCTTCTGTCCCTTCTCTAGGGGGACTGTCTCGTGTTACCCCTCTATAAACATAGGCGTAGAAACGTGAAAAAACAACTAACATGTACAACAAGAGTTTCGCCTTCTCGTCGAAAGGGGTAATTTTTTTAAGCATCTTTGGCGACATTTATATTCACAGACTGCATTTAATGCGAATTTCCAGTCTTTTCATACAATACAAAAATGCAGTTTGTAATTTTTTTAAATGTGCTTGAGGCACTATTTTAATACAAGAAAACTAAAGCTCACGTACAATCTTAATTTATTTTTTTCGAAATTTAATTTTAATAAATTAATAAATTTTTTGCGATTAAAATGATATCACATGTAACATAATTTGGATAATTTTCAAGTAGATGCATTAAAAAAATGTTTGTTTTGCATCTAATTAAAAATTATTCGAACAATGTTGTGTTTGATGATTTATCACAAAAGTCTCATTATTTCATTAAAATTATTTTTAAAAAAAGATAAATTAAAAATATAAGAACTCTAGTTTCTTTTATTATATATTGATTAAAAAAATATGAACAAAAACAATATTAAAAAAAAGAATATGAAGAAATATATTAAAAAGAATATATAAGAAATATTACATATTAATAAATATATAATATTTCTTATAAATAAATAAATTTCTTATAAATAAAATAAATTTATAAATAATTCTTATAAATAAATTTATAAATTCGAAATTCTCTTCTCTTTATATAATATTATAATTATTATAATTATTAAAATTATAATATGTTGTAAATGTAATAAAAAATAATAAATGTAATAATAAATATAAATGTAATAAAAATTATAATAAAAAAATTATATTTCCACGCGATAATGACGTCAATTTATGATAACTACTTCGATTGCAACGCGTGTTTACCTGTTGATACTCGACGAATTAATCGTCGTGGGAAAAGCGACGCGTCACGAGAAGTTGTTTTTCCCGATAAATACGTAAATGTGCGAACACGTGGCGGGGAAAGCCACGTGGAAACCGTTCGAGTCAATTCATTCGCCTGATCGATCAACATTAACATAATTAACATAATTATGTATTTAAACTTATTTTTAATAATTATTTTTAATAATTATTTTAATAATTATTTTCATAATTATTTTAATAATTATTTTATTTTATCAATTAAGGAGAGAGTATTTTTAATATCAATTCAAATTCTTAATAAAAATTATTAGATCAGTAAAAAAATCGTTATAGGTTCCCCTGGTCAAATTCTGTTTCAAATAAATTTATATTATTATATATATATTAATCTATATAAAATTTTATAAATTTATAAATTACAATTGGTATTATATTACATTCTTGAAAATTATCTTTCTAAGTAAAAAAGAAGTCGAAGGACATTTTAATAAATAGAAATTTTGAATCAATGATTTTTTTCGACGTCGAACTTTATGAAAAACACTAAAGTTTTTAAACTCATTTTCCTTTTATTAAACATATATTTCAAGCCAGAATTCTTTCTCTCTCTCTTTCTCTCTCTTCTCAAACTATTCCCATCTTTCCCTTTCCATTCGTTTCTCCTATTCGCAAGGTTAATAACTGTCGGTCGTTCGTTTACCCTTAGTTTCATTTAGTCACCTGGAATACCTGTCCCATCTGTAAAGGCCTATATCTAATTCGCTTTGCCCTTAGCTTGTGAGCTCAGCTGGTTTCGGATGAGCCCTCGAGAATCTCAAATTAGACCTTTCGATTTAAAGCCCATTTTCTCCGAGAAATCTTCCACCGATTTTCCGAGTTTCCGAAAGTTGTGGGTTTTACTAAGAAAAATCTTTCATCGCATACAAAATTTTTCACGCATTTAATTAATCGCAATTAATGAATGATGACTTCGCGAAATTTATTATTCAGCCAACGAGAAATATTTGCCCTTTCTTATTTTTCCCAAAGGATGGAAGAATGAGATTTAAAAAAAAAAGGGTAACAAAACCGGTCGATCGCGATCAGAACGATCATTCAGGCAAGGAGCCATAAACATAAGTCGTAAAGTACGAGTCCCGTTCGCAACGCTTGCCCGATCACGTCCTCAAGAAGACACAACCCCCCGGGAGATACGAGACGTGCGACTTTCACCGAGAGACGATCCGCTCCGAAGGGAAAAAAATAGGAAAGCATATGAGTCACCGTTGTTGACACGTTTGAAAGGACAATGCGGTGTCCGAGGACGTGAAAAATTCTCATTAGACGGGATCCTTTTGTCCCTGAAGAAGCATTTTAAGTATCGGAAGGAGATATTTTAGGCATCTTTACTGTCGCGACGAATAAAAGGCGAGAGGTGTCACCCCCACGACGAGGCCTCGGAGCAAGGGAGTTTTTCTCTCGGGTCGTCGAATCTTCAGTCTCGCTCGAATTCGGTCGGTTCCTCTCTTGGCGTGCCGGCTGCACTCTGCCAAGTAGTCTGCAGACACGTGTATTGATTTATTCCGGGTTAGGGTGGGCCGGGGATGAGACGGAGAGGCAATCCGGGGAAGGGAGAGTGAATGAACGAGGGACAGAGAGGGAAGGAGAGGCCGCGCCGTGAATGGGATGGAGAGAGAGGGAGCGACTCCGGTTAGATTGTGGGAAAACTATCCTCCGTTTCCCTCGCACCTGCCCTATGTCCCTCTCTCTCCCTTTCTTCCTCTCTCTCTCTGTCTCTCTTTCTCTCTATCTATCTATCTATCTATCTATCTCTCTCTCCTGTTTTAGACTGTGCGTAGACTAGATGCCGAATTGCGATACGCTAGAGTGTCCCTCTAGAATTAGAGTATAATCGGGATCTTCCAAAATATTAATGCAAGGAATCTTATATATAACATAATAATACATATAATATTGTATAAAAGGAATTTGAAAATTATTTTATATATTACTACAATTGTTGAATAATTAAAAATCAAATGTAAAATTATCTTTGAAAAATACTTCTTCATACAATAAAATTAAATATAACATATTATAATTATAATATATTATACATAAACAAAAAAATATAAAACTGTTAAATTAAATACAATATTATATAAAGAATTTAAAAATTATTTTATATAGGGTCCCAGACTGTCCCAGACTTAACGAATCAGCTGTTAATAGGAGATTCCTGAGATTATTTGGAAACGACTTTCAAATAGAATTTTCCGAAAATAATATTTTTGTTTCATATTCTTCTCTTTCTCCATAATATCTTAAATATTTATATATCAAATATTTGCACACTCTCTCCTAAAGTTAAAATGTGTCGGAATCTTTAAAGTGTGTTTCCCAATCGCGATATCTTTCGTTTTTCCCTTTTCTTGACTATTTATACAGGATATGTCGTTCTAGCAAGTCAATCTTTTCTTTTTTTTTTAATAAGGATATCGAGTGATACCGACAATTTTTAAGTTTTATGAAAAATATAGAGATAAACTTTGAATGTTTTAGTAAATATAATCTCTCTTCTAGCTTTATTTTCTGTAAATATTTTCATTAAATTAAAAGCATTTGCAAATTGATTATTTGCGTCATGTTTTTATTATTTACGTCAGAATTTAAACAATTTTATTTAATAAATAAAAAGATTTATATTCACAAATTTAGGAGCAATTGATAACACAATAAAAAAAATAACAAATAAACAATATACAATTTTACACAATTATTTAGTCAACACAAAACTTTGCGTACAACATATGCATCTGATTCTCTGATTTTGTGTGAGCATTTTAGTATTATTATATACAACTGTCTCTTGATAAAGATTATATCAAATATTAATATAATATTATATTAAATATTATATTATATTAAATATTTAATATAATATTATATTAAATATTATATTAAATTATTTAATCAATCATCATTTAATATCAAATAAAAATTAACCAAGTTGAGACAAGACAAGACAATATTTTTGTTACAAAGCTTCAAGGACCAAGATAAAATTTAAGTTCTCAAAAATATGTATTAATATCAAAACAATATTTTTATGAATATTATCTTGTTTTGAGTCTTATCTTGTGCAATTCTAGATAAAATCGCACTCTCAGAGTAATTAGTAGACAGAACGGACTTACCCAGTTGACGACAGATATCAGCCTTGAGATGCGATGGCAGTACCTTCTCCTTCAACAGGACTTCGTAGTGCTCTTTGGCTAAGCGATACTTGCCCTGAACCTCGTACAAGTGAGCAATATGGAATTTTACTACAACACACAAGGTAAGAAACGAGTAAGAAACAAAGTTCCCTGATATGTTCTTTCACCAGTCTACTAATCAGAAAGACATGTTATATCTGTAGAAGGCAAGTTTTATCGGCTAGATTTGGAGAGGAGAGATTGGGAAAAAGGAATTCCAAACTTCCTGTATGTCAGAAGCATCGAAGTACGGCTGGCTATTTAAAAAAGCGCGACTTCCGATAGGAAATTATATCGTACATTCCTGCGCAAAATTCTCGGTATCCGAAAGAGAGAGAAGAGTGACTCCTGGACGAATCATCGAATCATTAAGTGGGAAGTTTGCGATTCGGAGTCATGAATCAGTAACAGTCATCCTGATTCATCTTCGCGAAAAACTTCCGCCTAGGAATTCTAGGTTTCATATGTGACGTATACGAGATAGAAAAAGGAAGTTCTGATTGCAATCTCAATGACGGATTTCCGGAGTCAATCTTTTCTTGGAAAAATAAAATCGTCGTTAAATTAATATTCATTAAATTAATATTCAAGACTTATTAATTATTAATATAATTATATTGTTTATAAAAATTTAAATATAATATTGTTTTAATATAAATTATTGACACAAAATGTTGGTCGTTTAATATTAAATAAAAATAATTTTTTTAATCCACTTTTCACTCGAAAATTTAATTTCTTTCCTACTTGAAATTTCACGTTACGAAATATATGAAACTCATTAATTGTTATATCGCCATTAATTAAGAAATATAAGAGTAAAATAAAAAATATAGTAAATAAAATAATAAATAAATAAAATAATAAATAAAAAATATAAGAAATATTCACGATATTTTTGATTAATTAATTTGAATGATTAATAATTAATTAATAATATGTTGTTGATTAATTCTTAAGGAAAACTAGTCGCAAATAAGTCGCTTATGTATATAATCATGAGGAAAATTTCAAAGTCCGATTCGTGAATAAATTCTATCTAAATAAATCCCGTAATCGATTCAGGAAATGCTATTGTAATTTTTATTAGATATTCATATCGCTAAAAAAATAAAATCTTTGTTCTTCAATTTAGCTTCCATGAATTATATAATTATGATCATAATATTATAGTTCAATTCAAATCATTAAACTTGGATTTTAAATGTCATAATCTTCTTTAGTATAAAAAATAAAAAAGATGATCGCACACACTTATACGCCTGGATTAGGCATCATGTAAAAATATATTACACCTAATCAATCAAAATAAATTTCTATTGAAAATCTTAAAAAAATAGTTCAATATTTTTATGTAATATTTTTTAAAATAATTCTCTTCTACTGAAAATGCTTTAAAATAATGTATTTTTATATGATATTCCTAAAGTAAATTTTTTTACTGAAAAATTTTTGAAACAATATAATACTTTTAGACAATATTTGTAAAATAAACTTTTCTATTAAAAATTTTTTCTAAAATTAAAAGTAAAAGAAAATTGTACATAACTAAAGATAGAACTGTGGCGAGCTGATAAAACTGGGAAACGAGAACGATGCGAGCATCGAGAAAAGGCGGTCAAGTTCGTGGAGGAAGTTAAGTGAGCGAGCGAAACGAGGGATGGATGTTGTCGACGGGAACTACGATGTAAATAGGGTGCGCATTTTTTCCGGGTTTCTCGCAATGCGAGGAAGTAAACTTGCCACTTACTCTCGAGCTTGGAAAAGGAAGCAGGTGTGGTGGCGTCGATCAGGGCGAGGGTCAGGTGCTTCAAGGCGGCGTCGAACTCAGCGTGGACCTTCAGCATCAAGCCAAGCCGTAGGTGAACCTCGCAGGCCCGCGGGAATCCTGGTTCCACCCATAGCACCTGCTGGAACGCTTTCACGGCCCTGAAACACGCAACGGAGCGAAAACGTTATTTTCCATCTTGTAGAGAAATTTTCTGACATTCCAGATATTTTTCTTCAAAATTTCAAAACAAGAGAATATTTCTTGGCGCAACTTTCTAAAATAAAATAAATATAATAAAGTAAGATAAATTTTTTATATAAATATAAATTATATAAAATTATATAAATATAAATTTTATATAAATATAATTTTATATATTTTATAAATAAAATAAATTTTTTTATTGTATGCACTTTGTTTACATAAAGAAAAATGCAGAAACATTTAAGTTTCGAGTCCTAGATTCGCAAATGTATTGAAAAAATTTGAATAGCTTTCGTAAAGTAAATATTTTTCATTTGCATAAATTTTCATTTTTTTTATCACTATAGATTACAATAAAGCTTATATATTATATTTAATGTTTTAAGACATTGAATATGTAAACATAGTAGATAGACGTACATATTTATAATATATCTCTAATATTTAAATATTTAAAATATATTAAAAAATTTCCCTACCATTAAGAAACATTTTTTCTACATAAATTAGAATAAAAAATTATTTTATTAGAGCTTCTGTCTATTTTTATCGTTCAATAAAAAATTAAAAAAATTATAAAACATATATCTAGCTTCTCAGGCGCAAATATTAATTCTTTCTAGACAGAACTATATTTATTCTACGATATTATATTGTAAAAAATTATTTTATTAGAGCTTCTGTCTATTTTTATCATTCAATAAAAAATTAAAAAAATTATAAAACATATATCTAGCTTCTCAGGCGCAAATATTAATTCTTTCTAGACAGAACTATATTTATTCTACGATATTATATTGTAAAAAATTATTTTATTAGAGCTTCTGTTTATTTTTATCGTTCAATAAAAAATTAAAAAAATAATAAAACATATATCTAGCTTCTCAGGCGCAAATATTAATTCTTTCTAGACAGAAATATATTTATTCTACGATATTATATTGTAAAAAATTATTTTATTAGAGCTTCTGTCTATTTTTATCGTTCAATAAAAAATTAAAAAAATAATAAAACATATATCTAGCTTTTCAGGCGCAAATATTAATTCTTTCTAGACAGAAATATATTTATTCTACGATATTATATTGTAAAAAATTATTTTATTAGAGCTTCTGTCTATTTTTATCGTTCAATAAAAAATTTAAAAAATAATAAAACATATATCTAGCTTCTCAGGCGCAAATATTAATTCTTTCTAGACACAAATATATTTATTCTACGATATTATATTGTGTCGCGATCATCGAGACAAGATTGCCTCTTCATCATTCCTTGCTTCCCGTAACCTTCCTGTCCGCATGCACGCAATGTGGCAAAGGTGAACGCGCAGGAAGTGGTTAGTACATAACGTCTGTCACGCGACCACGGGGCCCCGCGAACAAAAATAAAGAACAGGGGGAGCGGCGCGCGCGCGCGCGCGCGTAGCAATTGTTACGAGAGCGACATATCGCGAACCGTGCGATCGATACGCGTCGATCGATCGCGCCGATGCACATGGAAAGCCGGAAACGAATAATAACACATATCGTAGCGACCAGACGATGACCATAATACTGCGAGCCCCTTTGAGAAATGTACAATCTACGATTGAAGACTCTTATTTTCAAGAGTTGTCTTCGAATGATATTTTCTCCTTCTCCAAAAGACGGTGATTACGTGCAATTTTCAAAGACGACAAAAACTGAGTCGAAAAGTCCTGAACCATTTTTTTTTCCAAGATTTATTAAATAATTAATCAGATTTAAGTATTAAAAAGATTTCTGAAAAGATGAATTGTTTAAAAATTAACACAAAACAGTTTATTTTTTTGCTTATCCAAATCTTCACATGTTGATAACGAGGTTGTCTTTTTATTGGTGCGACTTTACTCATTAATTACTTTATTAAGCATTATGGAAAAAAATGGTTCAAGACTTTTCGACTTTTTAATCAGGAATAACGCTATTTGCTTAGTGGGAGCTTCTTAAGATACACCCTGTATATTAATCCGAGAAAAATAGATATTAGTAATGTAGTAATAGTATGTGTGTAATATATAATATACAGAAAAAATTTTATATTTTCCCTTTTGAGCGAAAATAAAATGCAAAAACAAATTTCTCCGAACGAAAAGCTGTTTCTAATTTTCCCCGTCCGGGAAAAATAAAATACACAACTGGAAACAAATTTCTCAGGACGAGAAGCTATTTCTAATTTTCTCTATTCGGAAAAAAACAAAAAAAAAAGAAAAAAAATTTTTTTCAGAACGAAAAGTTATTTCTAATTTTCCCCTCGTTTGAGGAAAAATAAAATGCACGCAATCAAAAAAAATTTTCTCGAAACAAAAACTGTCTCTAATAATTTTGAGAATCATTGAGCCGTCATCATTTTCGTAAAATATTCCGAGATGCTATGAAAATAAAACATTTAATTTTTCTCCAAGGGGTTACTTTCGATCGCCAATTTATTCGGAGCATCGAGAGAGGCTGGACGGGAGCCAATGTCAGCTCGCAGCCCGGCAGAAGGCGAGAGCAGCGTCCGTCGTCAAGACGTCACTTTCGTTCCCGTTAAACGACGGCCGTGTGACGGTTACATATAGGTCACAGGTTATAACCGGATTTCTCCGTCCCTTCCGCAATCCCTTTTTCAAGTCTCTATTATTTCCGTTCCATCATCCCTCGTTAATATTTTGTTCTCCCATACTTTCCCTCGGCTCTCTTTGTCCATACGATTTTTCAGAGAAGAAAAATAAATTAATAAATTATCAAAATTAAACAAATAAATAAAAACATAAAAAATTAATCAATCAATAAAATGTAAAAAAAATAAAAAATTAATCAATCAATAAAATATAAGAAAGTAAAAAATAAATCAATCAATAAAATATAAAAAAGTAAAAAATAAATCGATCAATAAAATATAAAAAAATAAAAAATAAATCAATCAATAAAATATAAAAAAATAAATCATCATTTTAATTATTTTCAATTAATAATTCAATTATTATCAGTTCTTTTTACCCTTTCATTTGAAGATACGTGGCTTTTTTCAGGTATCATTTTCATAAAGGAAAAGCAGAGGGAGTAAAACGCTAATCTTTCCCATATCGTTCCAATTTTAGTGTATCCGGCGTCGAAACGCGCGTGGCCTGTGTGTGTGTGTGTGTATGCGGCATTAAACATGTATATATATCCATCGCAGTGTGCATGTGCGCGACACACTTTTCACAGCGCGGGGTTACGGCACACTTTTCCTATCCTAAGCGAGGCGGTTATGAAACACGAGCGACGTAACGCTTACGATTATCTCCGTGGCTCTCTGTGTAACGTCGCGTTTAACCGCGCGGGCTTGATAAATGCCCGCAACAGCTGAGCCGCCTGCCTTTCACCGAATGCGAGCTGCAATTCTCGCTAGAATAAAGCGGCAAGGTAAAAATGCCGATCGACGAGGAACGCAAGTTATCATTGCAGAAACAAAGAGCCAGAGAGAGAGAAGTTGACTCTCGAAAAATATCCCCGGAGGAAAATGTCGTAATTTACGTATGAATAATACACGTGCAATTGTCTCGAGATACAGGGTGTTCCTCGTATAAATAGAATACAGACCAATAATAATATTGTCAAGAAAGGAGCATCTTCTTCTTGATATGAATAATTTCTGGAAATTTTATTTTCAAGATTTATCATTTTTTGAATGGTGCATTTCTTCATAAAAATTTTCGAAATTATTTTTAGACACTAACATCTATTTTATATCAGAGCCAAGAAAAATTATCGATTGAAATAAAATTTCTAGGAAGAAACAAAGTGTTTCATTTTAAATGAAAATTTCATTTAAAAATAATAATTAAAATTAAATAAAAATAATAAATGTGTGTGAAATTGCATCGACACGAAAGTGATTTTTGGAAATTCTTTCAAGTAAAAAAGAAGGTGCCTATTTTTCAACAAGGAATATGTTGTTGGTAACATCAACATCTAAATAAGACTCTCTTATATACAGAGTGTCCCAAAAAACAGAGTTCTTTTAATATCTGACAGATTCTCTTCGGTCAAGTCGATTTTCACTTTCGTGACACGTTTCTCGATCAATTTGAAATAACTGGCTTCGTAAAATACAAATGACATCCTTCTGATCGAGAGATCCTGTTTCTACCACGAGAGGCGTCCGGAGATAAGCGATGATTTAACGAGAAGTAGTAAAAACATGAGAAAAAAAATCGATTACCATCACGTCATCTATATGAAAAAGAGAGAGGGGGGAGGGAGGGGGAAGCAGAGAGCGGTAGTAAATTCATTCATAAGAAGGTCCATTCATCGCTTCATTCACTCGCCTCGTTTCCTTTCGGGGTTCGTTGTCTTCGACAATGAGTCACTCCCGACGCGAGCAGGAAGAGAAATGTCAGTGACTCGCCCGTTTCGCAAGAAACTATAATGCTATCAACTATATGCGAGGCATCGGAGGAAGAGAGAATAGCAAAAATCAGTATCCAATTATTCACTCAATTCTCACAATAGTGATTAGTTTAAGTTAAATATGTTAGGATTTTCAGCCCTCAAAAGAATTTGTTGTGTTGACAGGATTAATAAAATATTCAGTTTAATAAGGAATCTATTACGAATTAGATCATTTAATTCTACTTATTTAAACTTACAAGATACTGTAGTATTTAAAAAAAATAACAAATAAAAAAATTAAATTAAATTAAATTTAAAAAAATAAAAAAAAATAATAAAACAAAAACTAAAAAAAAATAAAAGCTTTTTATGGTAAGATTAAGATATCTTTAAAAATTCAAAAAAATATGGAACCCCCCAAAATTCTCATTATTAATAAAATAATTATTGAAATATTTTTAAATTGAAATATTTATTAAATTGAAATATTTATTAAATTGAAATATTTTTTATTTACCTATTTTCTTTAATATTATTTAATCTCATTCCTTTTAATTCTCTGAAATAAACATAATATA